CCAGAACCTGACTTTTGCATGTACATCCATTTCACAGGTCTGACTCATTTGCATGTAGACTGTTGGTTCCTTGCCTCTCAGGCAGACGTACTCCGACTTTTAAAAACAGCTACCAATTAGTCGACTCTAGGCAGGCAGTGGGTCTGTTCTTGTTTTCATCCACAAAAGGCCCCTGAACCCACACAGGGAAAGTGTCAATTTGAAAATTTACCAGCTACATGTTGCAACTGTTAACAAATAGATTTTTTTTTAAGTTTTTTTAAAAAAAGGCAAAAGTGGTTTAGTGCACTTAGAAGAATAAATCACCAAAGGCCCAAGAAATTCAATTTATCACCAAAATATCCAGATTATATCAATCTTTTAACATTAATCTGTTAATTCATCAATAACAAGAAAGAAAAACAGCTTCAAAGTGTTGATTATCATGATGTTTGTCATTAATTCTTGACACAATCATATAACTGCAACATCATGTGGTCAAATGATCACACATGGTCAACAGATCACACATGGTCAACAGATCACACATGGTCAACAGATGACACATGGTCAACCGATCACACATGGTCAACAGATCACACACGGTCAATCAATCACACAAGGTTAACAGATCACACATGGTCAAGAGATCACACAAGGTTAACAGATCACACATGGTCAATCGATCACACGAGGTTAACAGATCACACATGGTCAAGAGATCACACATTGTCTATAGATCACACACACACTGTCAATAGATCACACATAGTCATTATTTATATCACATATGGTCAATAGTGAGACAACAATGTTCTAAAGTGATTAAACTCTATCTATAGTCATCACACATGTTCTAGTCATCAATGCTATTCTCACATGGTCAATAGATCACACATGGTCAAGAGTGATCACTCATGGTCAATCATTATCACACATGGTCAACAGATCACACATTGTATATTGTGTAGGACACACTGGCTAACCATTTACAGCTTACACCACCGATAGTCTTCAAACAAAATCACTCACAAGCAAGAGACCTACAAACATTAACACCACACTAATACTGAAAGAGGTCTACTTCTGAACTAAACAGAGAAAACCTTTGTGTTTTTCAGCTGCTAACTTATGGAAAGGCCACAATAATGCTAGAATATTAATCCTGTTATTGAGCTAAGCAGCTATCTTTACTGCCAATTATTGCCTTTATTTTACCACTTTTGCGATGTAGACAGGGGGTTTTTTGAGCCTGATGATTTATGGCTGCATGGCTAGTGCTGTCACCACAATCTCGGCTTCACCGAGGATTTGAATCCGGGTCTTGACAGCCCAGCACTCTAACCGTTCGGCCAGCCGATCCTCAATGGTTATGTTAATTGTTAAAAGCAACAGAATCTCTTTCTGCCCCTATCAACCTGTAATCAGCTTTTTCCTACAAATCTCAACCATCATATATTGTGTTCTCTCAATTTTCACATTTGGTCTAACATTGCAACAAAATCTAGCTTAACAGGTGGACAATTCACCGTGTTCAGTCTCTCTGTAGGTTAAAAGAAAGTATAGGACACTTTTCACACCAGAAGCGGACCAGGTCTATTCTAAACTCATATTTTTATAGACCAAGGTAAAGCATGCAGAATTTTTTAGAACAGTATCTTTCTCATCTATCCACACCTCCTACTTTCTGCTGTGAAACCTTTTGCAACAGATAAATTTAACCTAAACAAAAGGCTAAAATGGCACATTGTAATGAAATATTGAATTCAATAGAATAACAATGACTTACAGGCATATGCTTTAGTTTGACAAAATTTTTAAAAAGCTTTAATGGCACATGTGCATTTAACACCATTTTAAGACATCAATATGGCTGCTTTGTTAAGCTGAAGATGAGGACAGAGCATGCATGGGAATACCCCGAATGCTGTGATGTCAATTCTTGACTCAACTCAACTCAAGCCTAGATTTTTTAAATGAGATTTCAGTGTTTATCCCGCCTGCCGCCCCATGACTGCCTATGATTACTGACATCGCACATGATAATTTCTGCTGTGGGAACAGTGCTGTTTAAACAATCAATCACTCAGGGTTTTCTTCTTCACACACCAGTGAATGCACGAACCATAATCATAAAGCATATTGTTTAACATACAAAGGTACAAACACATCTTTGAAACCTGAGTTGTGAAAACTAAATTTTTCTGACAAACAATGTTGGACTTTTATTAAAGATGGGTCTGTAATTCACCATGTGAGAAGCTCTTGGGCTTTTACAGCTCCCGCTGGAGTTAGAATTGTGAAGCAAGATTCTGGTGTTGTTGCACTGACCACAAGTAGTACGACTATGGAGGTCATGGCAGTGACCAAAGCAATAATATGGCTGGAGACACAGACCTGTTCCCACGCATGCTTTCTCAGTGACCCAATGCGTGTGTTGAGGAGGATTGAGAAGGGCTGGATCTGAAGACATTGGCTGGAGTCTCTAAAGCGGTCAGGGCTGACACATATCAGTTTCATATTTGTGCCAGGGCATGCAGGCGTGCAAGGAAATGAGCAAGCAGATCGGCTTGCAGGTAAAGCTACTGTGGAGGGCAGACAAGCCATGGACCATGCTGATATTCTGAATTCTCTACAAGAAGTAAGACATTTGCGAGAACCAAGTGATGACTGTGAATGGGCAACAATGACCAGAATACATGAACAACATGTTAAAAAGGGGTGTGGCCAGACAAGAGCACTATGCAGGAAGCCAAGGAAGAAAAAGAAACCAACACAGAACTGGTGTCGTGAGCCGCTATATGCTGCAGGATTTACTGAAGAGAGGATCCAAGCACTTATGAACTGAATGGTTCGATGTGCAAGAGGATAATCTAACTTACTATGAAATGTTGGATTTTTACCACAAAATGGATGACATTTTAGAACAAAATGTAAAATTTTTACAACAAAATGTTGAATTTAAACCCCAAAATGGTGGACCTTCACCACAAAATGTAGGACTTTTAACGTTAAACTTTGGGACTCTTGCAATTTTCTATAATTACAAAAAACAAACATAAATAGGAATTGTAAAATATTAATACTGATAATTTATGAAACACATCAATATTAATGGGGCGCGACAATATTATTATCATTATTTTTGAGTGATGCATATAAAATGAACATATGTACACAAACATACATACCATTACAGCAATGGGCTACTATACCCCTGTTATGATGACTTTCTCTGACATCACCCTCACAACAAAACACTAGTATATTATTTTGCAAACAATCTTCAGCTACACAATGGGTACAACAAAATTCTAGTACACAAATGTTACAACAATCTTCTGCAATGTCACTGTTATGAAAACATGCTAGTATAGTATTATTATTACAAAATGTCCCATGCTCATCACTGTTACAACTTCATTATAAACATTATTACAACATCCTTAAGAGGGAATGTTTTTATAATTACTTTTATTGTACATCACATTTAAAGCATCCGGCTAGTATACCGCTGTTACAATCTCATATTGCAGTACTTTTACCATACTCTTTTGTGTACCACTGTAATAATCGTCTAGTATAGAAGTTTTGCAATGTTCTGCTATGTTATTTTACAACAACATACTAGTATATAATTTTTGCAACTTTTTGCTATGTTATTTTACAACAAAATACTAGTATATAACTGTTTGCAACTTTCAGCTATGTTATTTTACAACAAAATACTAGTATATAATTTTTTGCAACTTTCTGCTGTTATTTTACTACAAAAACTAGTATATAATTGTTACAACTTTCTACTTTTTTATTTTACAACAAAATACTACTATATAATTTTTGCAACTTTCTGCTATGTCATTTTACAACAAAATACTAGTATATAATTTTTACAACTTTCTGCTATGTTATTTTTACAGCAAAATACTACTATACAATTTCTGCAACTTCCTGCTATTTCACAAAAAATTACTAGTATATAATTTTTTAAAATTTCTGCTAGTCATTTGTTATTCAATAACTTATAGAAAACAATGTTACAACAAGTAAATATGACTACTTTAGTGTACATCACTGTTAACAATATCCTGCTAGTATATTATTGTTACAACTTCCTATTTTTTTTTGTTTCAATACCCTGCTTGTATATCAACTTTCTAGCATGCTAGTTACAACTTAGTGCTTTCTCTTTTTTTTTTAAAGAACATTTTAGTGCATCATTGTTAAACAGTGTTCTAGTACATAAACCATTACACCATCCTGCAGCAATAATCTTCAGGTACACTTTTGTTACAACAACATTGCACTACATCATTACAATAACATTCTAGTACATCACTGTTACAACAACATTCCAGTACATAACAATTACAACAGTGTTCTAGTTAAGGTTGTTGTTTTTTTTTTTCTGGTGGTGAGCAAATTTAGGTAGTACCTGTACTGTTTAGGCATTATTTTCTTCATTGCTACTGGAATAGAGATGCTCTGTGGTAAGTATCAGCCAATTTTTATAAATCCTTTTCTTCTAGAAAATATCTGTGGTTCTAGTAAATAACTGTTACATATTCTGGTAGTAAGTACTAACTGTTATCAACTTCTAATAGCCAAGTTATTGTTTAAATAGCATCTTCTCGGAAAAAAAAATTGCAGGTCCTAGTACATAATTGTTACACATTCTGGTAGTATTTACTAACTAATATGAACTTCTAATAGCCAAATTATAGTATAAATAGCATCTTCTAGAAAAATACCTGGTTCTAGTACATAATTATTACATACTCTGGTAATATTTAATAACTAATATCAACTTCTAACAGCAAAATTATTTTATATATAGCATCTTCCAGGGGGGAAAAAATCCCTGGTTCCAGTACATACTTGTCATACATCTTAGTGATAATTGTGATATTTACAAAATGCAATCAACTTCTAAAAGCCATAATATTTTATAAATAGCACAGTGCAGAAAGTTGATTTTAACAGGTTGGTCACATAAGATTCTCTGGCCAGCACCTGCCCCTTCAGTGAATCAGTGGACACACTGTGTCAGAGGCACAACATCTGTGAAATGCATGGCCTGAAAGAGAAAAAAAATAACAATCTGGCAAAAGTGAATATGTCACTTTCTGTTCAACGCATCTGCTTTCTTCTTTTTCTTCACGTTCACCAGCTTTAGCCTCTAATGGAAAGTCCTGGTTATTCCACTTCTGGACTTTGGTCTTGACCAAGAACTCAAGTTTTGTGTGCATACCCGCTGTACAGGTCTGGCGTATTTGTATTTATACTGTTGATCCCTTGACCAACAGGCAGATGCACTCTGACTCTGAATAAAACACTCCTATTTAGTCAACTTTTATGACATGCTGGGGGGGGGGGGGGGGGGGGGGGGGGGTGTTGGTCTATTCTTTTCCTACATAACGGGCCCAGAAATCTATGTGGGGAAATTATCACAAATGACCCAAATATAAGTCTCTCAATTCTTTTTCTTGTTTTTCATTCAATCTTAAAAAAGCCAGTTGGCATGTTCTACTGTGGTTAAGCTGGATTGCGATGTCTGTACCTTTCAGCCCAAACATCTGAGTTCAGTTAACCCTTAACTGGTAGCTTTTGTGAAATGCTGCTAAAGGGGCTGTAGGCTTATTCTCTCCCTACCTCCTCTTTCCCCAAACTGGGACACTATGACCAAATTCTCATGGGAACCATTAGTGAAGGTACCTTGTGGTGGCTGCTGTATTTGACGACTGAACACACATGGGAATGCCCAATGTGCAACTGACTATGATATCATAACCAGAACCCACATGAGGAACTTGAACCCTCCCTACGGGAAATGGCAATCATAGATCAACGGTCACCATCCATATCGACTTTCTTAAGTTTACCTCTTGAGGATTGCAGCCTAAAAGACTGACTGCCGGGGACTCATAGAAGATACTATTTGGATGCAAATTAAACTGTGGCAAATTCCAAAAACCCTGTTCAACCATATAAAATGAAATGATTATACTGAAGCCCTCTATGTGTTACAACTGACTTCCTAATGTGAGTGGCTGGTATAATCTTTTTCTTCTTCGCGTTCACCAGCTGTAAACTTCAGCAAAAAGTTATGGTTGTTCGTCCACGTCTAAACTTTAGTCTTGTTCCAAAACCTGACTGTTGCCCATTTTACAGATCTTATTTGTACGCAGACTACTGGTTCTGTGCCTCTCAGGCAAATGCTTTCCGACTCTGAAAGATTCCCCCCCCCCCCCCCCCCCTTCCCGTAAGTCGACACTTACAACATGCTAGTAGGGAAGCAGCGAGTCTGTTCTCCCTATAATGGACACCGGAACCCATACTGGGAGGTGATATGATGTCACCATCATCTTCATCCTGCAATACTGTGTTGTTGGGTCACCAGTTGCTGCTGATTTTCTGATCAGCTCCCTCTACCTCTGACAGTCAGATGCAATGAACTTCATGGTTGCATGCCTAAAGCCTGTCAGTCAAGTTCTGTATCCTGGTCTTTCTTGGTTTGCCTCCTCCCTTCTACTGAGTCCTGTAGTATTGATTTTGAGAGGCCTTTAGATCTTCTTACACATTAATTTCATCACATTTTCTATCTTTTCACTGCAGTTAAAAGAGATTCATATTGCCAATGTGCTGATTAATTATACGGCAAACCTCATCATTTGTGATGTGATCTCTGTATGATAAAGATATAGATAGATAATAAAACGGATGAGAGAGTAGACGTGTGGGCAGATTGGTAAACATAGACATGACGACAGATAAGAGGGGAGACTGACAGTCAAACAGACGGGCAGATGAGCAAAAACTAAATTAACTGATATTTGTCTTACCGCATGGAAAAATGACTACGCCTTGTACAGTCAAAGACATCACCGATTTCAAAGGCAGGTGGCAGCACAGACAGTGGCTGAGATTGGCACAGTGAAATAAAACAGTAGTTTACTTCAAAATACAATCTACACAGGATTAATCTTTAAACATTTCCATTAGACTAACAAATGGTAAAGATTTTCGGTCAGGTTCAAGTAAATCTCCTCAAAGTAGGTCACTTCTAATTCACAAATTTGTTGGACTGGTCGACTTTCTTGAAGGTTACAAGTGTGTCCCCAGCTAGTGTTTGCTTTCTGCGTTGTCTTGCATTTACATTTTCATTCCAAGAAATAGAATGTCTGTGACATAGGTTGCAGCATTCTCTAGGGGAGTTGTTTTAGGGCCAGTTTCTTCATGTTTTTGGAGTGTTAAAAGCGCTGGCATGCTGAAATATACAACATGTCATATCAATGGCATTACAGAACACCCCCATAACCTTGTGCCAAGGTGACAGGTTCAGGAACTATCAATCATAAGTGAGCTAGTGTGTTTACGATCAGGGTGTGGGAAGATTAACGTTACTTCAATCAGATTTTCAAATCAGAAGTTCAGCAAGTGTCTCGTCTGAACGGACATCCAATCATGACTCCCCAAACCTCCTTCTCCTCATTCTTTCTTATTCTGCTTTTTCATCTACTACTACTCCTCCCCTTTTTTCTATATTCTAAATATTCTTTCAGAGTGGCAAGCATTGTTTTACAGGTCCTGGGTAGTTAGTGTAATTGAGATATTTTCTCCAGGTCATGCCAGCGTGTTGGGAAATGAGCAGATTGACCGATTCTGCACCACTTGGTGGTAAAGTGATATATGGCAAGTTAGATGGATTGAGGGTCTTATGGGAGTTAGCGAACAGCGCAGGTTCGCAAACAGTTCATTTAGGGTGTGAGGAAAATGGCACTGCAGAGAGTTACTGGAGGATCTAGCTGAAGCTCAACACAAAGATGTACAATCAGACAGTTACTCTTTGTCTGCGGCTGAAGATGGGGATGAAGCCCATTTGGGAGTGTTCTGAGTGCTTCAATGCTGATTCTTAATTCAAAATTCAACATGCTAAAATTTCCATTTTCAGAAAGTGTGTCTTATCCGATGCTGGCATCTTTTACTCCCATCTTGATACATTGGAACTTGCCTAATTCTCCGCCAAATGTCTTTTTTTTTTTTTTTTTATTATTTAGAATCAAGCCAAAAGAATAAATATGTTTTTTTTTTTTTTTTTTTTCATCGAACACCGGCTGTGAATTCCAGTGGAAGGTTCCGGTTAATCGTCCGCTTGGACTTTTGGCTTTCACCTGAACCTGATTTTTGCGTGTACAACCGTTTTTCATTTCCCTGCCTCATGGGCAGCTGTACGCCGACTTCGAAGGAAGACGTCAGGCCTATTTCTAGGGTGACTGTGGCCGTTGTTTTGTGTGGGTCGAGACGTTGCCTGATTTGTGTGGTGTCTCCTTCGCCGCAGGTATTGCCCCCGGAGTACCCCTTTGGGGCAGCCCCCTGTGGAACAGTTAGCCCTCAAGGGAAGGCAGGGGCAGATCATGGGCATTCCCCGCCATCCAAGGAGGCATCCATGTATGCAGAGCCGGCACATGGCGCTCTGTTTCTGGGCTCACCCAAGGAATCGTCACGTCCTGCACATGCCTGCTTAACCTCACAACCGTATCAGGCCTCCCGCTCAACAGGGGCTGCGCCCTCTGGAAGTCAGCGGGGAGCAGCCCGTGGGTTTTGGACTTTTGTGACCACACAGATAGGTACATTCTTTTTTCTTTGCACGTTAGATTTCTTTGACGAGCCGTTAGCCCGACAGAATTTTACATCCTGCATCAGGCATATCGTTATCAGTTTTGTCCCAACCCTCGGGCGAGTGGGGTCTTTGGGTGTGGACATTCGGTCTTTTTCAGTTCGATACAAATTTTGATGGTCAGATTTTGATCCGTATGATCTAGTTTTGTCGGACATTTAGGCTTAGCCATCCGATGGGTGGTTGCTGTTGTGGTGCACCTCAGCGCGGTGACAAAGACACTGAGGGTTAACCGAGGATGTACAAGGATGGTCAGCCTATGGATGGTTGCTGTTGTGGTGCACCTCAGCGCGGTGACGACGACACTGAGGGTTAACAGAGGATGTGCAGTGAACAATGTTCTCTTTACTCCGCAGTTTTTTTTTTAACCAAGGGTTGTAATTTTGGCTGTACGTTTGGCAAACCTACTCATGTTCCTAATGAGTTTTGGTAACATTTTTCACCCAAGCGTTTGGGGGCGGGCTGATGAGGGCCACAAGGACACATCACCTCTGGGGGCCGCCGAACTCCGAGATCCCCTGACAGCTCTGTTAATGCTCATTTGAGACATTATCCGTGGCGCACGACGAGGACGTGCTGTAGGGGTCTTGCGTGAGGTTCCGTACAACCAGGATAGTGAAGGACTGGCGCCCGAGTGACGTACGGAGTATCTCCTTATACACATCATGTTGGACTTAACTTTCCCTCACGCCTGTGACATAAATCACCGCGCCACAATAAATATGTTTAAAATAAATAATAATTGGTCCCCATGTGGGTTCCTGGGCTCTATTATAGGGAAAACAAGAATATAACCACTGCCTACCCAAACGCATGTTGTAAGAGTCGACTAATTGGGAGCTTCCTTCTAAGTCAGAGTGCCTCTGCCTGAGAGGCATGGAACCAGCAGTCTGCATACAAATGAGTCAAATCTGTAAAACAGATGCACAACCAAAACACTCAGGTTCTGAAACAGGACTGCAGTACAAAACTGGATGAACAACCAGAACTTTCTGCCAGAGTGGTGAACTCGAAGAAGAAGAAGATGAATACTTGACACCAGAGTCAAATAACTAAGGTTACCTTGAAATTATGACCTCGTGGCCCCATTGACTTCCCAAATTTTCAGACATCAAGTCCTTGCTGCTGAGTGCCTTCACTTGACTGAACTAAAAAAATAGAGAAATCAATCAATCAATTATTCAATTGTGCCGTCTCCACGATGAAGGTTGGCTGTAATGGATCCCCAATATGCTCTATCTCTTGTCTTGGCTGTACACTCTCTCGGGACTGCTGATCATTTTATGATATCTGTTTGTAGATTTTTTGTACCTTCACTGCTGGGATTATTTTATGAGAGGTCTGTATATGTTTCATACCATTAGAACTGAGATTATTTTAAGTTCTCTCTCTCTCTCTCTCTCTTCCCCCCCCCCCCTTCTTTCTCTCACTCTCCCCCCCCCCTCCCCCTCTCTCTTTCTCTCTCTGAAGAGAATAAAAGGATGAATTAATAGATATATGGTGCTATTAAATCCTGTTATGTTCCTTGAATTGATGAAAATGATATACAACAGACACAGAGGTAGTAGACAGATAGAAATCAAGTAACAGTTCAGCTTACATATTTAGACATATTTAGACAGCAAGCTTGATTGCCAAGGAAACACAAAGAAACACTGCAAGGCAACACAAAGAAACACTGCAAGGCAACACAAAGAAACACTGCAAGGCAACACAAAGAAATACTGGCAAGGCAACACAAAGAAACACTGCAAGGCAACACAAAGAAACACTGGCAAGGCAACACAAAGAAACACTAGCAAGGCAACACAAAGAAACACTGCAAGGCAACACAAAGAAACACTGCAAGGCAACACAAAGAAACACTGCAAGGCAACACAAAGAAACACTGCAAGGCAACACAAAGAAACACTGCAAGGCAACACAAAGAAACACTGCAAGGCAACACAAAGAAATACTGGCAAGGCAACACAAAGAAACACTGCAAGGCAACACAAAGAAACACTGGCAAGGCAACACAAAGAAACACTAGCAAGGCAACACAAAGAAACACTGGCAAGGCAACACAAAGAAACAAAGAAACACTGCAAGGCAACAGCAGCTTTTAAAGGCCTGAACAAAATATGAAACTCCAAAAAATTTAGTTTTAAAATGAAGTTAAATTTTTTCAATTCTAATATTTCAATTTTAACCATCTACTAGTGAAAAGTTGGAGATTCACCAAAGACATGGAATGAAAGTTGAATGCATCTGAAAACAAAAGCTTAAGGAGAATTATAAATATTAAATGAATTCAAGAAAAGCTCAGAAAACAGATAAATTCTGGCAAACATTGGTATCAAACTCCCCCCAGAGGCCATTACCTTGTAGTGGTGGGGGAGCTTGAGAGCCTCAATGATCTAATGATCTATGCAGGCGGAAACGTATGTTCCTGGCAGGGTCACCCAAGCCGGACAGGTCATTGGTGAGGGGCCAGACTAAAGATGGCCTCCCGGTCCTCCAGGCTCGGGGGTTGGGCGCAGTGTTGACAGCTCTGCCCTGTAAAAAATCTACAACGTTACTGAAACTTCAAGAGGAAATAAGTGCTCTAAACGTCCGGTGGTCTTGGGACAACACTGAAGATTACACAGGACAGGAAAGCATGGAAAGTCCTCTCTGAAGCCTCATGTGCCACTAGGCATAACGAGAACTGATGATGATGATTGGTATCAAAGAAGATGGTGATATACTGGGCACAGCAGAACGGTAGTTTGCTTGTCAGCCATGGGACTATGACAATTTTTTTTTTTTTTATTAACGTTACTTACCAGGCCTTGCATTGCAACATCATCCCCTTCTCCCTTTTTGATTAACTTCTCAGTTTTGATGGCATGAACTACCTGCAGAGTCACAACATAAAATAATCTCAATTTTGATGGTATGAACTATCTACAGTGACAGTGAGAAAACAAAGTAACCTCAGTTTTGATAATATAAAACATCTAGAGAGAAAGAGAGAGAGAGAGAGAGAGAGAGAACATAAAATAACATCAGTTTTGATGATATGAAACACCTAGAGAGAGAGAGAGAGAGAGAGAGAGAGAGAGAGAGAGAGTGAACACAAAATAATATAAGTTTTAATTATATAAAACATCTAGAGAGAGAGAGAGAGAGAGAGAGAGAGAGAAATGATAAATTAACCTCAGTTTTGAATATATAAAACATCTAGAGAGAGAGAGACACAGAGACACACAGAGAGAGAGAGAGAGAGAGAGAGAGAGAGAGAGAGAGAGAGAGAGAGAGAGAGAGAGAGAGAGAGAGAGAGAGAGAGAGAGAGAGAGAACTAAAATAATCTCAGTTCTAATGGTATGAAACGTATAAAGAGCTAACATAAAATAATCTCAGTTGTGAAGGTACAAAAAAATCTACAAACAAATAACATAAAATCACCTGGTTGTGATGGCATGAAATACCTACAAAGACATAACATGAAATGATCTCAGAAGTGATAGCATGAAGAAAAAAAACGGAGAGAAAGGGAAAGAAAGAGAGATCATAAATTAACCTTAGTTTAGATGGTGCAAAACATCTACAGAGATGGAGAAAACATAAAATAATCTTGGTTTTGATTACATGAAACACAAGACATCATAAGACTACAGCTTTGATGGTATGAAACATTTACAGACAGACAACATAAAATAGTATGTTTTGAATGTAGGAAGCATCTACAAGTGAGATGACACTAAATTATTTCTGTGTTGATAATATGAAAAAATATGTATAGACATTTTTCTTTTAAGTCTCCAATGATGAAATGAAACACATGCTGAGAGACAACATAAAATTAACCACATCTTCAGATACCACAGGGTGTCAAAGATAGGTGGACAGGCAATATGAAGATAGGGACAAGAAACAGCCTAACAGAACGTACACCGGAGACTGAGGAAAGAAACTTCCAAAGATTTGTTAAACCAATGCAAACATGCTGCATGATGATGAACTCAAAAATTGATAATAAAACGCTGCTCTTCCTAGGTGCATGTCAAAAATAGCCATTTTCAAACGATCACTATGGCATCATCCAGTGTGTCCGAACGGTGATGTCAGTGCTTAACACTCTTGGCATCCTTAACAAACATACTGACAGGTTACAAGACAATGACATGGTTACTGTCACTCTTTTGAGGTTTGCATTTGAAGCTCCTTTATGTGTATGTGTGCCTACATGCACACACGTGTATATATGTGTCTATATATATTTGTGTGTGTGTGTGTGTGCGCGTGTGTGTGTGTCTATATAGCGCTTAAGCTGTTTGCGTCGAGGTCTACATGCCAGAGTTTCAATTCACAGACTGCAATGTTTGATTTCTTAGTGCTTTTGGAAGGGGGGGGAGACATTCTAGAGGATCATTGCTGCAGCTGCAGTGTCTGTACTTTGTGTGATGCTTGGCAGACTGCTGGCTGTTCTACATACAGTAAGCTAGATGAGACATACGTTGCTACAATGAAAGTCAAATCTCTTGACTTTTAACAAAACAAGAACCCTGTGTGTGTTCTGGGGCCCCATTGGGTAAACAAGAGCAGACCCACTGCCTGCCCATAAGCATGTCCCAAGAGTTGACTGATTGGGAGCTTCCTTCGAAGTCAGAGTACATCAGCCTGGTAGACAAGGAACCAACAGTCTGCATGCAAATGAGTAAGACCCGTAAAAAACGGTAGTGCATGCACACTCAGTTTCTAGAATAGGACGAGTCCAGAAGTGGGCAAACAACCAGAACTTTCCGCCAGAGTTTACAGCCGGTGAATGTGAAGAAGAAGAAATAAATAAACAAGAGAGTACTTACTGGTGGAGGCAGGTAGTCAGGTTTCTTTTTCCACATGTAGACTGACATCTTCTCCAGGATATCATGTGTAACACAGCTGCAAGAGAACAGTGATGCAAAGCTAACAAAAGTGTTTCTCTAACTTTTCTTAGTCGCTGCTCCTTTTTTCAATAAAAAAATTTTCCACGGCTCCCTAACCTAAGGAAAAGTATGACTATTTGTATGTAAGAGATATATGGAAAAAAATATTTAAGCTCGTGTATTTTCGTATATTTCACCGCGCCCCTGTGAAGAGGTCGCGGCTTTCCTGGGCACCATGGTGAAGTTTGGGAATCACTGGTCAAAGAGAACACTAATAAAAATTAGCAAAACCAAAGGCCTAAGACAGTGGCTCTCAAACTTCCTAATGCCTCTAACCTTTAATACAATTCCTCATGCTGTGGCGACCTCTAACCATACCATTATTTTCATTGCTACTTCACAACATCAATGACTGTGCATTTTTTGATGGTCTCAGGCGACCCTTGTGAAAGGGTTGTTCAATCCCCAAAAAGAGAACAGTGATATAAAGCTAACAAAAGTGAGGGTCCAAGAAGGGAAATGTAAAGTTAACAAAAATTATGGTCTAAAAGTAGGGTGATGTAAAGTTAACAAAAGTGAAGGTCCAAGAAGGAAAAATTCTAAATTAAAACAAATGGAGGTCCACAAGAAAGGCGGTGAGAATTACAAGCAAAGAAGGCAATGGCGATGTAAAGTTAACAGCAGTCAAGGTTTTATTTCTATGGTTCCATGTGTACTGAGCATATTGTACTAGCCCACAAAAGAACAAAAAGTAAAGGACCGTTTTCCATGTCTTCAGGTGTACTAGGCACATAGAGCTAGACCTATATTTTATAGACTAATTGGCACTTCAGGGTGATGTGGTCAGCATTACACTGAGCTTCTTTATTTCCCATGACTGCACCTGGTATACACTCGAAGCTGAGTCTACCTGGGAGCCAAGGTCATTTATGGGGAAAAAGTCTGGCTCTCTCAGGACCCGAACATATGTCCTTCTGATCTGCAGGCGAGTGTCTAGCCACTACAGCATGGCAACTCCCACTAGTAAGTAGCGTATCCTTTACAGGATGTTGCAAACTAATCCCAGCATTTTTAGCTATTGTGGTTTTTCTAGGCAAATTTACGGCCAGTAGTTTGCCATTGCTTCCTGCAAGGTTGGCTCACGATACCAGTGCCGAAACAAATCACCTGCAGCTGGGATCAAACCTGGCAGCCCAGCATTACAAAGTGTGTTCGAATGAGGAAAGTCCAGGGGGTTGCTCTGCGTACACCAAGATGCCCAGCAACTCACCTCGGGCACCACTGGATGCCCAGTACCTTACCTTCCTTGGGCACCAGCAGATACCACTGGATGCCCAGTACTTCACCTCAGGCACCAGCAGATACCACTGGATGCCCAGTACCTCACCTCGGGCACCAGCAGATACCACTGGATGCCCAGTACCTCACCTTGGGCACCAGCAGATACCACTGGATGCCCAGTACCTCACCTTGGGCACCAGCAGATACCACTGGATGCCCAGCAACTCACCTCAGGCACCAGCAGATACCACAGGATGCCCAGCAACTCACCTTGGGCACCAGCAGATACCACTGGATGCCCAGTACCTCACCTCGGGCACCAGCAGATACCACTGGATGCCCAGTACCTCACCTTCCTTGGGCACCAGCAGATACCACTGGATGCCCAGCAACTCACCTTCCTTGGGCACCAGCAGATACCACTGGATGCCCAGTACCTCACCTTCCTTGGGCACCAGCAGATACCACTGGATGCCCAGTACTTCACCTCAGGCACCAGCAAATACCACTGGATGCCCAGTACTTCACCTCAGGCACCAGCAGATACCACTTGATGCCCAGTACTTCACCTCAGGCACCAGCAGATACCACTGGATGATCAGTACTTCACCTCAGGCACCAGCAGATACCACTGGATGCCCAGTACTTCACCTCAGGCACCAGCAGCTACCACTGGATTCCCAGTACCTCACCTCGGGCACCAGCAGGTTCTGCGCTGGAATTGGGGAAACTCAATAAGACTCCTGCTACACATCCACAACATGCAGCACACATAATGCCTAATATTAGGCAAAACTGTTTTGGCAGGGGGATCTCACAGCTAGTGGTCCCTACAAGTGCAGCATCTAATAGTGGAAAACCTACAGTACGTATCAGCTCATGCAGAACGCATGGGTACAAATATCTATCGAAAAAATCATTATGCAAATATCACAACTAGACATCCCCGTGTGGGAAACGTACAGAAAACAAGAATGGACCCACTGCCTACCCAAAAGCATGTCATAAGAGTCGACTAATTGGGAGCTTAATTTGAAGTATGAGTGCATCTGCCTAAGAGGCAAGGAACCAGCAGTCTGCATACAAATGAGTCAGATCTGCAAAACGGATGCACACGCAACACTCAGGTTCTGAAAAAGGACTGCAGTCTAGAGGTGGAGGAACAATCAGAACTTTGCGCCAGAGTTTACAGCTGGTGAACGCAAAGAAGAAGAAAAAGACAAATAGACACAAACAGGCCCAATGCAATCACATCACTCAGAGGACCAATTAAGAAGAGGACATTATTATAGGTCAATTAGCACTCAGCTGATGATGTCGTCTTCTTCTTCTTCTTCTTTGTTCACCAGCTGTAAGCTCGGGTAGAAAGTCCTGGCTGTTCGTCTATATGGACTTTGACTTTGTGCCAGGGCCTGATTTTTGCAAACGCATCTATTTTACTGGCTTATTTCTGACCACTGGAAAGATCTGACATTTTGGAGAAGATGATGCTTTGGTAATGATGATGATGATGATGATGATGATGATGATGATGATGATATAAAGATTACATTGATGATATGATGATGACTGTGATGATACAATGAAAATACACTATGATACTGATGAAGATGATATAATGATGCTGGTGATATGATGAAATGATAGGATGATGATGGTATGATGTTATGAAAATTATATGATGATAAAGAGAATAAAAAGGATATGATGAAGATAAGATGATGAAATGATACGATGAAGATGATATAATGATGCTGGTGATTTGATGATCTTACCAGCATGAAGGTAATGATGAAATGATATGATGATGATGGTATGATGTTATGAAAATTATATGATGATAAAGAGAATAAAGAGGATATGATGAAGATAAGATGATGAAATGAAATGATGAAGATGATAATCAAACATGCTGCTCACTTCTGCTCCATCTTTACAATAAAGTCCAGGTAGCAAGCCTTCATAAACCCAGCACTCAAGCAGTTCTTGGCCACCAGAGGGTCATGCAAATGCTCCATGAGCAGATCAATGGCTGCAGCTCCACCAACATGCTTCAGCAGCAGACAACCCAAAGAGTTCCAGGTGATGCTCTTGTCCTGCACCACAAGATCATGTCTGTGCTCCGTTGAGAAAGACTCATATCTCAGGGACAGACGATCTTCTCTTGAATTCCTGGACTCAGCATCTTCAACAGATGCGGGATTAATTTGTTCTTTGGCAGTTTTGGAATCTTCAGCTTTGGCTCCAGAATCTTCTATACCATCATCTACATCAAGAATACTGAAGACAGGTAGGTTACTGTCTGAGGAATCAAGATGAGGGCTTTGTTCTTCAGCTATGCTGTCTTGACTATAAACAACTCTCTCTGCTGGGGCAGGTGCAGATTTATCATCCGACCACTTGTTATTGAAACGCCTCAAGAGGAACTTCCATTCTTGTTCATTCTTTGGAATATAACCATCTGAAGGCAGAAGTTTCAAATACATGGAAATAAGAGCAGTGATTTAAAATGAATTAAACTGGGTTTTTTTATTTAACCCAATATAATCATTTAAATTTTAATCAAAGAGCAGGAATTACTAATAAACCAGATACTTTCAAAATAAATGTCAAAGGAGAATCCCGCAAACATTTTCGCCAAACAAGATCAAAAACGAAGAACATCTTTTTCTTCTTCTTTCGTTCACTTGAAATAATTTATCTATATCTGCAATGTTGTCTCTAGTATGAACTTCACTGTCTGTTGTAATTCACTCAGCAACCCGTAAAGTGTGGCTTGCACCGGTCTTGGCCAAATGCTTTGCCTTGATATGTTTTATTTGGGACAGTTTTAGAGGACATGATCTGTTGTCTCAGGTGCCAATCCACATGTGCACAAGGCTGATTCACCATTTTTAAATTTTGCATACATGTGGCTGCGAAGAACTGATGGGGAGAAGAAACTTTTATCACTGGCAAATGTTATCAAAGGAAGAAGATGCTTGGATATATCTTCAGAATGCCTTGTGACACTTTGGGAAGAACAACAGATGGGGAAAAAGCTGTGGACGACTTAAAGAAAGCCAGATAAAGGGAGATGAAGGGATATAAAAATGACACCTATTTCTGCTTTTCATGGACATTACACTGAATACATCCCCTGCAGACCAAAAAACATACATGTGTCGGGTCTTATTCTTCAGCATCATCATCATGTAGCAGGTCCTTTGCAGAATGTAGCTCTCATCACAGTCTGCCTGAAAGAAACTCTGTCTCTCGCCAGTTCTCCCGCCTGATGTACTTTCATACTCAAGGAGTCACTTATATCATGTGCCCATCTTCCTGTTGGTCAGCCCCTGCCCCTCCTTCCTGGTACCATGTCTGCTGCTATTATTTTTTTCCAATCCATAGCATACAGATGCATTAAATGCATCATACAGAAGGGCCAGCGCAAACGGCCTGCCACCAGAATTGCTATTCATTATCGATGAAACCAGTAGTAACAATAAATGAGCATTTGCACCAGCAATATTGCACAAGGCACCACCAGTTCTGTTATAACAGGCTACTTTTCATTTTCTTAATCAGCACTTTACAGAACAATCAGATTGTAGGCATTAGAATAGAACTGAAGAGTTGTGAGCCTTATGTGGTATCTAAATGGCACAATATGACGATGAAATCTTCTTCTTCTGTGTTGATCTGAAGATGTAATTGCGTTGTGTCCGTTTACAGCACAGCTGCGATATTTGCACCTTTCAGCCAACATATCTGACTTCTGAAGGCATTTGTTGACCGGGTTAGCCTTTCCGGTTAGTTTCTGGGGACATGGCAGTCTCACTGTTGTCTGGTCATCTTTATTTCCCAGGTCACAGGTGGTGCCCCAATCAGGCTCATCCAGAGAATCCACATAATGCTGATCAGCCCTCAAGAGAAGGCAGGGGCAGAACATGAGCATTCCCCGCCATCCAAGGAGGCTTTCACAAATGCAGAGCTAATACATGGTGCTCTGGTACTGGGCTCACACAAAGAATCGTCACGTCCTGCTCATGACTATTTAACCTCACTTCCATGTTTTGAACATCTCATACACCATGGGCTATCTCTTTTGTAGCCAACAGTGTGCAGCCTGCAGACCTGGGATTCCATTTACCTACACCACAAAATGAGTACTTTGCTTCTTTTACATGTTAGACTTTTACAGCAGTGGACTTCCTCATCCACTATAGTTTTACATGGTTTACGAGATCTGCATCTCTAGGGACTATCAGCTCAGAGAATCCCAGACAGTTTTATTCTTGACGATGAAATAATCAAAAGCGAAAGACAGAAAAGCTAGCTTACCCTCACCGTGGGCACCAGTCAACAGAGTGATGTCGTTCAAATCCAAAATCAGCTGAAGTAGTTTCTGCCACTGATTGGCTTCACTCAGCAATTTCACACTCACAACTGGATGACTAGAATTGTCAAGGATTGGATTAAAGATACAAATCAATGTAATAATGAACAAACTTTATTTTTAAAGGGTCACAAAATGGACATGCAAGCCTCTTACGTTCAGCCCTTTCCAACAATCATCCTTCACGTTCCTGGTGTATATTAATCAACAAAGTATGTTATATTCATATAACAAAAATATGGTCAACTTTATTTATTTTGTATAACATTACATGGTAGCAACTGTAAACTGGGATATCCCTTTGGATATTTTCTCTAGGGGATGCCGGTGTGTTGGGAAATGAGCAGGCAGATAGACTGGCTGGCTCTGCACCACTTGGTGGTGAACTGATGTATGACAAGTTAGATATTGTGAGGGCCCTTTGTGAACAAGTGAACAGTGTGGAGGTGCAGATGGATCACTATGGTCTAGGAAGAATGGCGCTGCGGGGAGTTACCAGGGGATCTGGCTGACTCTCAACATTCAGGGGAAGGATTAGACAGATATACAATCAGACGGTTACTGGTACCATCGTAAACTCTTTGTTTGCTGCTGAAGATGAGGACTGAGCATTTATGGGAGTGTCCCGAGTGCTGTGATGTCAATTCTTAATCCAACATTCTTAATTTTAGCCACTAAAAAATAGTCTTTTAAAAACTATTCTGAACAGAAAGGTTAAACACAAGAGAGCAAGAAGTGGAACAATACTAATGGGGGAACAACATCAAGAGAGGGGTAAACAGCAGAGTGGGAGAGTCTACTACTAAGGTAGGAAGGTAATTGTACCCCACCAGGACATCATACAAGCGATAAACACCCGATGACACAAATTGCCACCTGGTGGATGAGGATCACCTGTGGAGAGGCCCCGGAAACCCCGTTCAGCCGTTAGGCCATATTTCAGGCCCAGCTATATTTAGGGCCCCTTGCAAAAGCCAGAGTGGGGCTTCAAAATAGCTACAAATTGCATCCCACAAGATCTACTACTAAGGCCAGACACAAGGTGCATTAAAGAAGGTTGACTCGGTCTAATCTGGGTATATGAAAATTACCTGGGAATTAAATGCAGCCAGTATAACAGTGACCAATCACTAGTCAAGTTTCGACCAGTTTTAAAAAACTATACTAGAACCATATACCCGTATGTTTACATAAATAGAAATAAGATGTGCCAGAAAGGCTGCAGGGGTGACCAGAAGAGACAAAATCAGAGATAAAGTTTATAAGAGAAAAAAAATCAGTGCAGAACAAATTTTAAATTATATACCAAGACCGCATGGAAAATGGTTTGTCCATTTACAGAGTATGACTTGTGATGTCATACCATACAACATACGTTAAAAGAGGAGAGAGATGTACAGTAAAAGGAAGACCACAAACCATACGGACAAGAAAACAACTGTTTTACTTGCAATAATAATTCCTAGAAAGTTAAAGTTGAGGTGAAAGGTTAAAGTTGAGAGGGTCAACTTCATTGCATCTGGTTTTATCCTATATGGCTTCAGCTCTATCTGCAGAACTAGCTGCCTGCCGAGATTATCGGACACAGCACAAACTCCAGACAAATATTTGTATAGACCAAATGTTTACAGACCAATCGGTACTTGGTGGGTGATGTGGTTAACATCACACTAGCCACCTTTACTTCCCAGAGCACTGCCTGGTGCCCACGTTAGACTGAATCAGTCTAGGAGTCAAAGACTACATTGTGCTGACTACTTATACATACCCAATTTTTGCACACAGCTGCACGATCCTCTCTCTATCATCATCTGAAGTGATCAACGAAAGCAGGCTGTTCAGCCAATCAAATGGCAGGACAGCTTTCAACTGAGTTGCCAGGCTGAGTAATTAAAAGGAAAAAAAAACAATGATATTCTCCCCTTTAAACACATAAAAATGCAGACAAGCTGAGAATCTCTAAGTAACAGAGAATTTCTTCTTCTTCTTTGCATTCAGTTTCGTATGCTCAGATCAGACCATCAGGTGGATTGCCTCGATGAACTCTCATGTCAGTAGCAGGTCCTTCATGGTTCCCCATAGCTTGCTCTGCACACTTTGCTCCTGAGACCAGGTGTCTTTTCGAATTTGTATGAAGAATGGGGAGGTTAGCAGAATGTGCTCAGGTGTTTGTGGTCCTGTTTGACATGCACACAGTGTGGACTGTACAATATTTATTTTATGAATGTGGTAGTTGAGCCAGCAGTGTCCTTTTTGTAGACAGAAAATTGTTGTATGTTGATTCCTGTTGAGTTTGCTGATGAGGTCTTGTGGATGCTAACTGTTTGTTCTCTCCACAATTCCTTGTATTTTCCCTTGATAAGTGTTTTGATTTCTGGTAACAGCAATGGATGGGTGTGTTGTTTCTTCTTTGTTCCATTTTTAGCAAGTCTGTCAGCTATTCCTGGTATGCCGCAGTGAGCTGGGATCCACTGGAGAATGATCTGATTGTTTTCTGCTAACGGGTTAGTTTTCTCTCCATGGTGTCTCATGGATCCCTCTGAGTCACCTGGAGGACCGACAAGCAGTCACAAAGGAAAACAATTTTGCTGTTTTTAATTTGTCTTCAGAGGATATGGAAAATGATCATTGCTGTTGCAATGCATCCCCTCAAAATGTACCTTGATTTCTATGATTAAGCATCATCAAGGAAATCAAAGACAAAATTTGGGGAGCATGCATCTTTCCTTAAGCAACATATGGATGTTTGTCGTGGACTATCTTGTAGTTATTAGGGAAGAAAATAGGGACTTTTGAACCAAAATGCTACAAAAAGATTCTCAGAATACATTGGACCAAGAAAAAGAGAAATACTAACATCCTAAAATATCTTAACAATGAGAAAGATTGCCTAGTAAACAGCATCTTGTCTTGGAAACTGTATATCTTACTACTGGAAGCTCAAATTAGCCACTAATTACCACAGAAGTCTGACAATTTTGTTTGCACACCCTAGGATCGTTCAATTGTCAATGTTTCGGCCAGTCACCAGTTGGGTGTGTGGTAAATAACAAGGAAAGCAAAGCACCTATGAATTACATGCCCAGAGTCAAGCAATGGTCAGCTGACTGTTTGTTACATGATCTCGGTGGTCTCAGAAGTTATATTATGTTTAATAATTTCTTTTGTTCATAGAAGGACACAGAATTATACTCAATATGCACTGAGCCTAAATAGTTCTAAAAAATAACCGCAAGGGATTTGAAAATTGTTTAAAACTGTGTCTCCCTTCTCTAGCCAGATAAAGCCACCCAGCTTTGTGTAATATTACCTAACATTACCTTATATAGCGATTCGTTTTACAAGCCAGTGTCATATAATTATCTCCTGACTCAAGACTGTAGGGGCGAGCAACTGGGAACTAATTATCAATTATTTTGAATAAATAATTTTCTAGAAAATAATTTTCAATGATGCAATGTGAAATTTGCTGAAATAGAAATGCAGAATAAATAAACAATACATTTCACAACCAGCATAAATTTATACAGACAACAACATAAATTTATAAATAAATAAATCTAACCTGCTGATTCCATCTGCCGATCCATCATTTGATTCTGGCGATAGAATGGTTTGCAAAAGCAAACACCTGACATCCCTGTTGGCACACAACTGACTGAAGACTGCTGGCCTAACATTCAGCCACATCGATTGAAGAATATAGAAAAAAGTACAATCAGGGCCATTATGAGAGAACAAATTGTTGAGGTCAATGCAAATTTAAAGCTGTATACAGCAAATACAATAGACCTGCTTCTATCTTTCTACTTCTTTCTATGAGTGCCTATCAATACACCTTCTGTTACTTCATTAATTCATAATATTTAATGGCCTCAAAGGTTCCCCCTTTGTTTATTTATAAGAATTAAGTGAAGCAGATATAGATTCAAAGATGGAAGCAGGGCTAATAAACAGCTCAAGTTTTAAAAAAGAGAGCAAAATGGCGAAGAAGTATGGTGTCTGCTTCATAATTTGAAAAGTACCAGGTTCAGGTCCAGTTAAGAAAATTTGTGTTTGCCCTTAAAAGTGCAGTTGGTAGTGTGTTGCAGAACAATGCTAGGCTGGGATATCTGCACCCTTTAGCCCAACAAGTCCAAGTGCAGCAAAGCCTTAATTAGACACTTTTACCATCATGCTTGTTAACACTTTCACCCCAAGAAGCTTCAATGTAGCCACATCCTCGTAAATGCCAAGTACCCAAGTCAGTCACACCAATGTGTGGTCATCGGTTCGCTCCCTGGCAGCGCCATAATTTTTTTTTTTTAATGACCTTGACTCACAGGTCGACCCAGCCTTGACTGGGTAAAGAAAGTAAAGGCGACCAGCGTGATACCGACCACATCGTCAATCTTGTGCCGATTGGTCTATAAGGAAATAGGTCTAGCCCTATATGCCATATACACCTAAAGGTGTGGAAAAGGGACATTTACTTTACTTTTATACACCAATGTGAAAAATCTGTCGCAGAAGACATGCCATTTTGACACTTTCTACACTTGTACACTTGCTGCACTGATAGGCATACATAAAAGCATGCCGGACCTTTATTCCCCATTGAATTTCTCTAGGTTTTTCACCCCTTCACTGATTTTTTTTTTAAAACGGGTACCAGAACAAAGATCCTCTTTGGTGCATGTCAAAAGTGGGGTGGCCATGTTTAAACTGTCATAATGATGTGAAGTCATATGTTCAACACTCTTGACATCCTTGAAAAAAATACTGACAGGTTACGAGGACAATGGCATGGTAACTGCAATTTCTATCAAACTCTTAAGGTTTTCATTTAAAGCTCCCAAACTATTTCCAGAAATCTCAACAGGCAAGACAACAGAGCTTATAAGCTGACACTGGAAGGTAGCTGTGACTGCAGTCAAGGTGATTTCAAGAAGAATTAAATACAGCACAGACTGTAACTTAAAAACTCAAAAAGAGGCGAGACAGGGGTTGGAATGATACACACAAACAACCAAACATTCTGACCAAAGCCTTTATCAATGGAGTACTAAATATAACACAAACTGTGATGAGAACACCCAACACAGGTAACTAAAAAATACATACCTGGCTGTTGTTGTCAGAGAGATCATGGCTTGCTTGAAGTACCTGAGGAGATATGCCGCTGGGTGCTTTGAACACAAGCAGCAGAGCTGGATCACATCAGCTGGCTTGATAGTCTCCCATATCTCACCACAAAACTCACTAGTTTTCACCGCAGCCATCTCAAACAAACTGGCACATTTAAAAAAAGGGAACAGTTGGCAATTTTATTTTTATTTGGTTACCCTAAAAAAGGGTGGCTGGCACAGAGGTTGTTGTTTGCAGCAAGGCTGCAACACCTGACCCAACACATCCAATTTCATCAGTGAAAATTCAGATGAGGTAAATGTTCTGATCTACACGGAAGGATCTATTATACATCAACAAAGGAGCGCATACGCGTTCACAGCATGCTCAGCAGGCAGAACAGTCAAAAAAGCCAACAGCGCCTTTTCCATGACAACTACCAGTATGACGATGGAGATGATGGCAGTAACTTGAGCGTTCAAGGGCTCGAACTACCCCCGCACATGTTCACTTAATGATTCAATGAGTATGATCCGGAGAGTTCAGGCAGGTTCAAAGTAAAGGCAGTGGCCTGGGTCAATACAGTAGTCTAATGTTTGTTGAGGTACCTTTATTTTGGTTCTGCGACACACAGGCATCAATGGGAATGAAAGAGCTCATAGGCTGGCTGGATCCGCCACCAGTACCAACGGTCAACCTATAGATCATGCTGATATTATTACTGACCTCGAGAAATGGGACTTTGCGGGGGCAGTGAATCCACATCACTCACCAGAATGATAGACTTGGGAGTTAAGATCGGCATAGCCAAAAAAACGAGACACACATCAGGCACATCAGAGGACTTGTTAATCTTTTACTGGGAAGCAATAGGTCTATTCCTTTTTTTCTTTCCCTGGAAATGTTCTACACAGGGTCTCTCTTGGTCTTCTCTGCTTTTTCCATTTTGGTGTCCATACGGGGCTCGGTGGGGGAGTCTGGTCTATTCCATGCTGAGTGCATGGCCGATGATTATTAGAACAGGCACATATTAGGTTTTTCCTCCTTCCCAACAGAAAGTAAACAGTTCTCCATGCCATAAAAAAAAGCTGTTATCTCTGTGTGGGTTCTGGTACCCCATTGTGGGGAAAACAAGAACAGACCCACTGCCTACCCAAAACCCTGTTGTAAGAGTTGACTAATTGGGAGCTTGCTTTAAAGTCAGAGTGCATCTGCCTGAGAGGCAAGGATCCAACAGTCTGCACACAAATGAGTCAGATCTGTAGAAACGGGTGCGCACACAACACTCAGATTCTGGAACAGGACTGCAGTTCAGAAGTGCACGAACAATCAGAACTTTTCACCAGAGTTTACAGCTGGTGACCACGAAGAAGAAGAAGAAGAAAAGGTTGCCATTATTTTCTCAGTCTTCCTCTATCTCTCCTTCCATAAATGTTTTCAGTTGTCAAAACATATTCCAGTTTTCTTATCTTATAATATGGCTAAACAATTGATGGCTGCCTCTTTCTGATTAGAGATGTGATTGGTGAGGAAGATCATAACAGCTTTCCGGACAGATGCTCCGACCTCCTCCTCAAAAGCTCCACAAGCAAAAAACAACTGATGACACCTGTCCTTGTTTATTAATAAACATCTTGTTCACTTAGTGACATGTTCTTTATTTCTTTCAGCTCCAGGTTGCCCCTTAATGTCCATCAGCCTAGACAGGGGTACAGATTTATGCCCTTTGCCATGTTCATCTTCGAGGTAAGTGTACATGGCACAGATAACATCACTTGTGTCTAGAACTAGACCAGCATTAGTACCTGCAGAGTCTGCAAGATAATCTGCACTCATTTCCTTAAATACTGGCATAGCCCACCACAAAGAAGAAGGTTAGGGCAGCCATTTGCAAAGTGCTTAGCGACCGAATCCATTCTTTTCTTATGAACCCAACCTGGATTTTCTAAAGCATATTTATTAAACATAAATATCTTTCTGATGTTTGTGACAACCTGCCTAAATCTTTTATTTACTTAACCTTATGTTGTTCTTCTTCTGCCTCTGTCAATTAAAGGGCAGGCCGCACCTTTGTGTTTTGGGGTGCAGCAAGCTGTGATTTCTTTCAACATAACACATCCAGTTTTAGCAAATCCATATTCAGTCACCGTTTACAACATGCATGCTAGGGGGCAACACTGGCTCTATTCTTGTCTCCCCCCCCCCTCCCCCAATGTTACCCTAGAACTATGAGAGGGAAGAATGATGATCTTCTTATCCTTCTTCACATTCACCAGCTGTAAAGGAAAGTTCTGGCTGTTCGTCCACTCCTGGATTCTAGTCCAGTTCCAGAAACTGAGTGTTGCGCGCACATCCATTGCATAGTTCTGACTTATTTGCATGAAGACTGTTGGTTCCTTGCCTATTAGGCAGATGGGTGTTTTATTAATATCCACCCCCAAACAGGGGAAATCCACAGGTCACGGGACAGTCTAATATTTCAGGGTGTGGTAGATAAGCTGCATGCAGTTGTGGGACCTAGGTTGCATGCAGTCGTGGGACCTAGGCTGCACTCTCTCGTGGGATGTAGGTGGGTTGCAGTTAGGGCCAGTTCTAGATGTTTTAGGGTCGCTAAAAGCAGCAGAAAGCTAGGAAACCAAGTCTTACCACCCTTTAAAATGTTGGACTGTCCTGTGACATCATCTGGGGTAGGATATTAATAAAGCTCTGGCAGATGTGACTTCAAAGAAAGCTCCAAATTTTTCGACTCTTACGACATGCTTTTAGGCAGACAGTGGGTCTATTCTTGTTCTCCCCACAATAGGGGAGCCCAGGAACCCACATGTGGAGGATGTGATGATACTTCAGCTTACCTGTAAATATGCCCCAGCAAAGCTGATTGGTTCGGCAAGATACCTGATCTCAAGTAATCTATAGCAGAACTGATCTGCTTCTCTGTCAAGATACTGCTGACAATATCTCCTCTGCCTTTCTCTGTGGACAACAAAAACATCTGCAACAAATGTACATTGAAAGTTTTACAGTAAACTATGTTAAGTATTACATATGTTAATCATCATCATGTGGTATGTCAAAATAACATGAGATGTGATGGTTCACTATCTAATTCTTCTTCTTTGTGTTCTTCTTCTTCTTCACTTCCTCTTTTACCGCTGTGGGAGTCGAGGGAGATAAAAGGTTCTGTTTCTAGCTCTTCTGGCTGCCTCGACCATAGGCACATCGTGCTGTTGTAGAGTTTCTCTGATGTTATCCTTCCATCTTGTTCTTGGTCTACCCCGTGCTCTACGTCCTTCTTCTCTTATCATGTATGCTTTGCGTTCACTGGCTTTAAACTTTTGGTGAAAAGTTTGGGCTATTCATCCACTTCTGAGCTTTGGTCATATTCTAGAATTTAAGTTTTGTATGCACATCTATATAACAGATCTGGCTTATCTGTATGCAAACTGTTGGCTCCTCACCTCTCAGGCAGAGGAAACCAAGATACAATATCATCAAGTATGTATTGTGTTGTCTGTTAAATTGTGATTTTCTAAATGAAAAGGCAGACAGATTGGCTGGTGCTGCATCATTGGGTAGTGACGGGATGATGACAAGCTAGATGTGTTGATGACCCTTTTGGGGACAAATGAACAATGCAGAAGTGTGAATAGATCATTATGATGCAGAGAACACAGTGCACCAATGAGTGACCATGGGATCCGACTGACACTACACAAGAAGAAAGTCAACAGAAGCTCAGAGATGCCAGCGTCAGGCTTCAGAAATAAGATATTTCAGAGAGGTGGTCCAAGTGACAAGAAGGGACAAAGTTGGCAATCAAACAATACGTCAAGATCTTTAAACCCAGGCCTTACAAACTGGATCAGCCACAGTTCTGATGGTTTGGACATGTATGCAGAATGAGAGAAAATCGGCCACCATGGCAGGCATGGGAGGCTGAGAACCAGGAAACCAGACCTCCAGGGTGACCCAAGGTCCGCTGGGAAGACAACATCCAACAGCCTGACTGACTGACTGTGGACTCAAAAGAAACAAAGCCAGAAAGAAAACTGCTGATAGAAAAGTCTGGTGATCTTTCTGGTAAAACCTATATATCCCCGGGTAGAAGAGGAGCGAGATAGAAAAGTCTGGTGATCTTTCTGGCAAACCTATATATCCCCGGGTAGAAGAGGAGCTAGATAGAAAAGTCTGGTAATCTTTCTGGTGAACCTATATACCCCCGGGTAGAAGAGGAGCGAGATAGAAAAGTCAGGTGATCTTTCTGGCAAACCTATATACCCCGGGGTAGAAGAGGAGCGTGATAGAAAAGTCTGGTGATCTTTCTGGCAAACCTATATACCCCCGGGTAGAAGAGGAGTGACAAAGTAACTATAGTGGGGCTTGGGCCTTTGGCTGCGATGATACCCATTAAATGTTAAACAATTTGGCCACTGGGTGATCTTTACTGATAGCCTGCATTGCACTATCCAAAATTTAGCCTGGGTAGTTAGCATCCATTAGATAGTTTCTCCAGGCCAGTGTGTTGGGAAATGAGCAGGCAGATAGACTGGCTGGCTCTGCCTCACTTAATGGTGAATTGATGTATGACAAGTTATATATTGTGAGGGCTCTTTGGGAACAAATGAACAGTGTGGAGGCGCAGATAGATCATTAAGATCAAAGCAGAATGGGGCTGTGAGGAGTTATCAGGGGATCTGGTCGACGCTCAACATTCAGGGAAAGGATGAGACGGATTTACAATCAGACGGCTACTGGTTCCATCTGAATTGGAACTCTTCGCCTGCTGCTGAGGATGGGGACTAAGCACTTGTGGGAGTGTTGTGATACTGATTCTCAATTGAACACTCAACATTTAGCAGTAAGCCACACTGGCCAGCAGGTCAACCCAGCCCCAAATGGGGACGAGGCAGTGTCCTGGAAAGCAAAGGCGACCTGTGTGATTTTGAACACATATCCCATCAAGTGCTCATTGGTCTATTAATCCTGTTGCCCGAGACAGCTAAATCTAGTCACTTCTGTTTGTGAAAAAGTTCTGTGCTGATGCATGACTATTTCCGCAGTGAACTGTTCTTGAAAAGCGTACTTAAATGTCACTGGCTCTATGTGCGCCTGTGGTGTGTTTAGGAGACCCGAATGTGAATACATTAACCAAATATAGTCTTGCCACGGTTTCAACAGAGGAATTGAGAGCCAACCACTGAGAAAGCAATGGCAAACTATGGAAAGCTACAACATTGCCTAGTGAAATCATGAACAGAAAAAAAATGCTGGTGCTGGTTCTGCAACTTCCTGTAAAGATTATACAGCTAACTGTATAGTATTTTAGAGGGGCTTATTTTGAATTCAAAAGCTTTTTTTAAAGCCAGGTTAAATTAAAATGTTCCCATAAGCCTCAGTTATACAGGTCATGACACAGGTCATCCAATACATATTTGTTTTAGGCCAAGAAGAATGCATTCCATTTAACAATTCACTATGTTCTTGTTTACTGATTGCTTACTTTTTATATTTTGAGAAAACTTTTTTTTTTCTAATAGATAAATAATTTTTCAACAGTTTATTAGTTACCTGTGTAAAATAACTGGGGTGTCTTAATTTTTTTTCTTTTTCTTTTTTCAGAAATTCACACAGGTTTATGGCCCATGGCCTATTTTGTTTTGTTATGCGTTCACAAACAGAAAGGGTTAAAATTTTAGCCCAGTATCGTATGCATGATACATGATAGGCATTAACACACAAAAAAGGGGATCTCTCACTTACTTGTGGTTATTGGCTAGCCAGAGTATTTTACACAAGCCTCTTTTAGCGTACTTGTAAATATTCATGTGCACTCAAACTCCCTCTGACATATTTGCATATTCAAATGATTTAGCACACAACACCTACCTCTACAGCACAGAACAAGGCTGACCCAGGCAATAAACATCCTACTCTTCTGTTTCTCCAGCACCTGTTTGACTTTCTCGTAGTCTAAAGCGAAGAAGAAGTGACGAATAAACAAAGCCATGCTGACATCTTGTTTCAGCTGTTCATTCTCGCTCCAACTAACCGAGCTTCTTTGGCAATAACAAAGTTTTAATTTGTTAACAGGACCTGGCGAGATTTTTTTCTTTGTCTCATGAATGGAAACTGAGCTACTCAAAGATGAGTTATCAAATTCCTGCACATGAATCGGGCTCACGTCTGCAACTTTCGGACTAGTTCCCGCTGCATTTTGAACCAAAGCTCCAGGGGGCTGGCTCTGTTTACCATTTTTCATGCCCTCACTCACATTTCTCTTGTGCTGATGAAGATCATGATCACAGGAAATGTGTTGATCAGGAAATAAAGACATGAGACAAGTACAATCTGGACTGAATAATTCATAAACAGAGGGTGGTAAAATTGCTTGCGCAAAACTTCTCAAATGAACTTCATCTGTAAAGTTAAAATGTTGAAGGATGTCTCCAGTTACTCCACTCACAAAACACATGGTGGTGAGAGTTCTAAACAAATCCAAATGCTTGCTGGGCAAATGAAATGGGTCATCACAATGCACGACATCAGCCCAGTATGTGGGTGTAAGATTTACATATTCCAAATGAGACAGGTCTGGAGACTGAGTAAATTTAATATTTGATTCACTAGAAGCCGCAACAGAAATATCTGAAGTCATGTTATGATTTCCTTGCGAAGTTATTAAACTTGAATCATCAACAACCACACCGTTATGTGTTTTTAAAACAAGATGTTTCTCATTGTTGACTTCATGACTAGCGTCTGTATTTTCATTATTTCCACCATTTTCTAACTCATGGCTAAGTAATCTTTCCTCATGAAGCTGCTCCTCATTCTTTCTCTTCACCAGCTCTTCATGATAACGAGACAAGGCTGAGTTCAATTCAACAGCCCAATCATTCAACATTTTCTGTAGCATCACAGGTCTGACAATAGCTGAAGAACTTCTCATCTGTGCTTGAATATCCAAGGCAAAGACGTAAAGCCCTGGTGTTTTTGCAGCAGACGCTGCCAAACTTTTGAATCTGGCAGTCTTGTCAATCTCAGCAAATCCGTCAGGTTGATCTCCGTTTGGTGCTTGACTGTTGATGCCATCTTTCGCTGACCTCTCAAGCTGAAATAAAATTATAACAGCAGTCAGCAAGTAACTTCAAAGACTCTTTACATGCCTGCCATTGGCACTTCAGTCATTTGGTGCTTTACTTGTATTTTTTTATTAAAACTGTTGGGGCATGATGCTGTCAGCTGTCTTCACTTCCTACAACATTTCCTGGCACCCATTTCAGACTAGGCTTTTGACTTTTGATGCTATTTATCCAGTGCATTTCCATGGCTACATGTCTTCTGACTATTTCTGAAAAGCCTATTTTGGTGTTAGTTTATGAATCCTAGGTATTCTTATTATTATTTTTTTCTCTACTCTTGGAATGCCTCACAGTGTTGAGGCAGGAAGAGATCTCTAAAACTGGACGTTCTGTTCACTTCATATAAAGTACTTTTCCAGTGTCTCTGATATTTCTGTGGTCCATATTTTGTGTGCTCAACCTCCCGCTCTGTTACCGCTGTATCTGTATAACACTGCTCTCTGAAGTTTTCATTATCCATTTTTTTAAAATCATTTTTGCTTCACATAGTTTTGCTGCGAACATTATTTCTTTCTTTCATTTTTTTTTTTTTTTTTTTGAGTTTATAAACAGATTTTATCTTCAGTGTGTCTTATGAGAGTGCCAGTCTATGAAAATGGACAAGATTTTCATCAACATTATCTCTGCTTGACTCTGTCAGAATATCAAACTTATTCTTATTACCACTGTCTTGATAAATATTCTATAGGTGACTGAACTAAAGGTGAAGAGAAGGAGTAGATAGAGATCAGCAGAAAGTGAGGAAAAGGATGATTTCAATCAACCTGACTGAATCAAAGGAGAAGAGAGAAGGATGAGGTGGAGCAGCAGCAACACCAGCAATAACGTAGAAGGATGATTTCAGACAGCCTGAGTGAATCAAAGGTGAAGAGAGGATGATGATTTCAGACAACATGAGTGAATCGAAGATGAAGAGCGAAGGATGATTTCAGACAGCCTGAGTAAAATTAAGGTGAAGAAAGAAGGATGATTTCAGACAGCTTAGGTAAATCAAAGGTAAAGAAAGAAGGATGATTTCAGACAGCTTAAGTAAATCAAAGGTAAAGAAAGAAGGATGATTTCAGACAGCTTAAGTAAATCAAAGGTAAAGAAAGAAGGATGATTTCAGACAGCCTGAGTAAATCAAAGGTAAAGAAAGAAGGATGATTTCAGACAGCCTGAGTAAATTGAAGGTGAAGAAAGAAGGATGATTTCAGACAGCCTGAGTAAATTGAAGGTGAAGAAAGAAGGATGATTTCAGACAGCCTGAGTAAATTGAAGGTAAAGAAAGAAGGATGATTTCAGACAGCCTGAGTAAACTGAAAGTGAAGAAAGAAGGGTGACTTCAGACAGTGTGAGTAAATCGAAGATGAAGAGAGAAGGGTGACTTCAGACAGCCTGAGTAAATCAAAGGTGAATAGAGAAGGATGACTCGCAGCAGCAAATGAGTAGAATGATGACTTCAAACAGACTGACTGAATCAAAAGTGAAGAGAATAAAATGAAGCAGCAGAAAATGAGGAAGAGGATGTATTGCAAATGTCAAACATACCTGCAGAGGAGAAATTACTGAAATTGCTGCTGAGTTTGAAGACTTGGTAAGTGGATTCTTCTCTTTGAATGTCTTGATCAGTGACTTTGTCTGAGTCTTCAATTTTAATGAAAGTCTGGCAGAAACAAATGGTATAGAGCCACATATATAATTTACTCAAGCATTTTGCATTAATTACACTTGTGTATGATAATTCTTTGAATACAATGACCTAGAAGAAGAAAAACATCAACATCCTACATGAATCTGAACATCAAGGAGAACTGGCTGATAAACAGCATCCTGTCCAAAAGCTTAGGTATTCTGACCATGATAAACGTTATGGTGGCACAGAGGAAAACAGTTATGGAGGGTAAAGTTTTTGGAAAAAATTTGTTTTACATATTTGTTTGAATATAATACAAGATGTTTTCCCACATTTTAAGTTATTTCTTTTTATATATATATATATATATATATATATATATATATATATATATATATATATATATATATATATATATATATATATATATATATATATATATATATTCACTAGCTGTAAACTTAAACGTAAAATTCAGGTTTTTCGTTCAATCTAGAATTTAATCTTGTTCCAGAACCTAAGTGCTGTGTGCACATCCGTTTTCTAGATCTAACTTATCTGTATGCAGATTGTTGGTTCCTTGCCTCTTATACAGATGCACTCAGACTTCAAAGGAAGCCTCAAATAAACAAATTTGGAGTCATATATAAACAGGAACCAGGGAACTAGACCTCCAGGATGACCCAGGGTGCGCTGGGAAGACAACATCCGACAGTCCCTAACTGACAGAGGACTGGAATGGAACAAAGCCAGAAAGAAAACTGTTGATAGAGACGTCTGGTGATCTCTCTGGCAAACCTCTACACCCCAAGGTAGAAGAGGAGCGACTAAGTAAGTAAGTATATATAAACAGAATGGTTTAAAATGTGTATTGCCTGAACGCAAAGAAGAAGAAGATATGTTACTGACTGTTATTAAATTGATTTATTGCTTATACATGGGGTCGTTTTATACATTGAAAAAATATAGAATTTGACAGACAATGCAGTTATTATGAACACTAAAACAAAGTTGATTGTTTCAACAGGCAAGATCTAGTATCTCTAACCAGATTGGTGGAGATATGGGGATGTAGCCCGGAGCTGCGAGACACAATCATTTCACTAAAGTCATCAGAAGCCTAATCAGAACAGGCATGATCAGTCATTTTACCCTGACACAGCTACTAAGAAGGAGATCGGATCATATATGGAATCCAGAGTGCTGTGATAACAATACTCACTAATTATTAAATTGCTATTTCATTACCAGAGAATTTTACTTTAATTCAATCTCAACATCTTCTTCATCTGAAGATGTAAATGTGGTGTGCCCACCTACAACATGACTGATTATTTGTGCCCTTCAAATGGTACGTTTGACTTCTGCTGCCATTTATTACCTGGGTTTGCCTCCCTGGTTAGTCTCGTGAAAAACTGCAGTCTTAGTGTTGTTGGGTCATCTTTGTTTCCTAGTTCACAGGTAGTGCCCCCCCCCCCCCATTTTCTTTCAATCAAAGGGAAACAACTGATATTTCAACTATTGTTTTGGCAATGTCAGATCTCTCTCTCTCCTCTCTTTCTCTCTCTCTCTCTCTCTCTCTCTCTCTCTCTCTCCCTCCCTCTCTCTCTCTCCCCCTCTCTCTCTCCCTCTCTCTCTCTCTCTCTCAGACACACACACAACCACCAGTGAACAACAATGTGGACAAAACAATACATTATGCAATTTACGGTCTGGTATATTTCACTGTCAACCAAACATAATAATAAATGAAGAAATTGAAAATGTGCAAACTTTGAATATCTAGGCTCTATAATAAAAAGCAACAAAGACTGTTTAAGAGAAATTAAAAGGAGGATGGCCATAGCAATGCAAAGATTAAACAGCCTTAAAAGTTTATGGTGAAGCACAAGCAAGGAGATCAAGATTAGAATTTTGAGAGCATGCATCTTCCCTGTAGCAACATACGGACTATCTCTCAGTCCTTAAGAAAGAGAATAGGGGCTTTTGAGCTGAAATGTTATAAAAAGATTTTCAGAACATCTTGGACAAGGAAGAGGAGAAATATTGACATCTTGAAAGATATGAACATCAAGGGCGATTGGCTAATAAACAGCATCCTGTCTCAGAAGCTCAAATATTTTGGTCATATCAAGCGCCATGACGGATTGGAAAAGAAAATAGCAGAAGGCATGGTACCAGGAAGAAGGGGTAAGGACTGACCAAAACAAAGATGGGCACAGAATATAAGTGACTACTTGAGTGTGAAAGTACATGAGGGGAGAGCTGGCAAGAGACTGAGTTTCTTTCAAGGCAAACTGTGATGAGAGCGACGTTCTGCAAAGAACCTGCTACATTATGATGATGATGATATTTCACTGTATCTTATCAGGCGAATTATGAAGAAATGAAGAAAGAAATATTGATCCTTTCTAGTGAAATACAAAAATCAACAAATTATCTTTTATTATAAACTATGCCAGGCAATAAAATGTGCAATATATTGTTTGTGTTTATTTTTATTTAACTTCAAGACTGGAAAACGTATAAAATAACAATTACTATTTTTGTAAATTACATACCCATCTTTGAATGCCGTCAGTGAAGCCCTCGATGATCCAACTGGCAAGAAGTTCTCTGAGGACATGGAAAGTGGGCTGCCGGAGGGAGAGTCCTGGTGCAGACTAGCAAGCATGTCATCACTACTAGCCGACCGATGGGCAGCGTTCAGCCTGTCTATCAAAGGGGGGATAACCTCATATCGCCTTTCACCATGAACTGACGAAGAGGATGATTTTCTTGGTGGCAGTTTTCCTTTATTTCAATAACAACAACAATAACAAATTAATATCTCATCAGTTATTAACACAAAACTGCAGAGACATCATGTTTAGGGTCACTGCCAAGGCTGGGGTTTTGGCAAAAAGTGATAATTTGCTGGGATATCTTCTTCTTCTTCACTTTCACCAGCTGTAAACTCTGGCGGAAAGTTCTGGGTCAACCACCACTGGACTTTACAAGTGTTCAATTACTAAAACCAAATAAAGACCATTCAAAGATTAGTAGCTACAGAATCATTACCATGCAGAACACTACGGGCAAGCTTCTGGAGAAAACTGTAGCACGTAGACTCACCGATGACTTGGACAAGCATGACAGATTACCACTCACACTTGGGGGATACAGGCAAAACAAAGAGTCATGGCTCAGTGCAACAGTCTTTGTCTGTGAAGTCTATGAAGGTTTTCAGATGAGAGAAGAGACATGTGCAGCTGCACTAGACTTAGAGGATGTGTACAACAGAGTACCATTTGAATACTTAGTACACATACTTCTCCAACTGCAAGTATCTCCCTTTATCACCCACTGGGTAGCCGCAGCACTGTTTCAGAGACGGGTGATACTCAGCTGTGGTTGTTGGTCCTCAGAACCGATAACCATCAGCCCAGGATTGCCTCCAGTGCTATTCAACATGTACACAGTGCTGATAACTGAGCAGCAGTTGCACTGGAGTGGCGGGACCTTGTCATTTGCTGATGACCTCAAAGTATATCGACATGGAAGAGATTGCCAAGTCAATGCAGAGTGAACTTAATTGCATCTCCTCTTCTTGTGCAGATTCTAATGCTCGTGTCAACCTTTCAAAGACCTCAGTAAAGTGGTTCTCTTTGAATACGCATATAGCGAAGGCAACCAGAAGTGGAAAGCAGCCATGAAATTTTGACGAGAACAAATCTGATGAGATACCTTGGAGTGAGGTTTGATCGCAGCCTATCCTTCAAAGAACATGTTGACCATGTCGTAACAAAAGCATGCAAAGGCCTGTCAGCAATGAAGGTCCTGGCTGCCACCAACACTGAGCAGAGACTGCTTCTGCTTCTGTTCCAGGGACTTGTACTTTCTCTTATCGAATTTGCTCTTGCCATCCTCACTGTCAGAAATACTCAGATTGAAAGACTTGAGAAGATGCCAAATGAAGCAATGCGCATTATTCTAGTGTGCACTGGAGACACCTCTTGGGTAGCAATGAGGTACCTTCGTGACTTCCCTACCATGAACTACAGGATCAAGATCTGGAGGGCTTGTGGATACCTCAAGATAAGCTCAGATCTGAAGCACCCTTTGCACCACATGCTCTTCAAGAAAAAGGGCAATAGACTTAAAAGGGGAAAATCATGGCTGGGTAGGGCAGAGGATGACATCATGCAGGTTTGCAGCCTTACAGACATCCATCCAGGTGAGGAGAGTATACCAGTCTAAAGCGCCCAATCTCACATTCTCCTGTGTTGTGACGCTCGATAGGAGTTGTCAGGAGCAGAATCCAGCTGCTGTCAATGCCGAGGTATGCGCGCTTATCAGTGACAAGTCAGATGAGACAGATGTGGTGATCTTCACAGACAGGTCCGTTATACGAGGACATAAGAGTGCATGAGCATTCACAGCTCGCTCTTCAGGCAGAACAGTTAAGGAAGCCAGCGGTGCCTTCTCCATGACCACCAGCAGCATGAAGGTGATGGCGGTGACACAGGCTTTCATGTGGCTGGGATCACAGGACTATTCCTGCATGTGTGTGCTGAGTGATTCTTTGAGCATTATCCGGCAGGTCAAGGCAGGCTGGTTACACAGACAGTGACTTAAGTTGTTGCAAAATTCTCCTGTGTGTGCAGTTACTTTCATATTCGTCCCAGGGCATGCAGGTTTTGTTGGTAATGAGAGAGTTAATTGACTGACAGGTGCTGCATTCATTGAAGATGGCCGGCCCATGGATCACGCAGACATTGTCATTGCCCTTAGAAAGATAGGACGTTGTGAGGATTTTGGAAGCAAAATGTCCACATCATTGCTGAGAATACGCGAATGGGAGTAAAGATCGGCACAGCCAAGCATGAGAAGCACACCGGACGCAAACAAAGTCTTGTTAACCAACATAGGACTGGTACTATTAACCGCACGACGCTGATGAATATGTTGAAAGGGGTATCTGAGCCCCTATGAATGTGTCTGGAGTGCTGTGAAGATAATCTAACTCATAACGTACACTTATCTTATGAAGACTGTTGGTTCCTTGCCTTTCAGTCAGATGCACTCTGACTTCGAAGGAAACTTCCAATTAGTCGACTCCTACGACATGCTTGTTAGGGAGGCAGTAGGTCTATTCTGGTTTTTCCTACAAAGGAGCCCCGAAACCCTCACGGAGAGGCTGGGACATCAATAGTAAAGTAGCCATTTTACACTAATAGCACATCAGGTATAGAATGCAAGACATATATTTGAAAGCATGTGGCACTTAATGAGTGATATGGTCAGCATCAGGTCAGCCACTGTCATTCCAGGAAGATTCATTGTACTCATTTTAGGTTGGGTTGACCTAGAAACCAAGATAAAAAAAATTTTTTTTTTGGTGGGGGAAAGGGGGGGGGGGGGTCCTGACTTGAACCCGTGACCTTTAGGTTGCAGACAAGCATCTAGCCGCTGCACTACCTCAGCTCCATGTGACATAAATTGTTCAAGTAAATAGAATTGGAAGCCACCATGGTGTAGCCGCTAGATGCTCACCTGCGAATCGGAAGGCGTTGAGTTCAGGTCCTGAAGGAGTCAAACATGTTTTTTAAAAAGACCTTGCTCCCAAGTCAACCTAGCCTTAAATGAGAACCAGGTTCAAGTTTCAGGAAGTAAAGGTGACTGGTGTGATATTGATTACATCAGCTACTGAATCTAGGTCTAGCCCTATATGCCCAATACACATGATGGCAAGGACAAGGGTTCCTCAATTTAGTTTACTTCATTGACTGACGGGTCTCAATATCTTAGTGGTTAGTTTGCTTGCCTGTGTGCTCGGTGGATCACAGGTTTAAAAACCCTGTGATGTTTATAAAAACTGACAAAGACTGCCAAATTTATCTACATCTTCTTCTTCTTCTCTTCCTCCAGTTTCTTAGGGCAGTTATAGTGAATTATAAGGACAACTTCTGTCGAACATGCTATGTATGTGCTTTTTCACATTCACCAGCTGTAAACTCCAGCAGAAAGTTCTGGTTGTTCAGCCACTTCTGAACTTGAGTTGTTTTCCCTGAATCTCAGTTTTTCCTTACATTTTAAATTTTAAATATCCGGCTTATTTGTATGCATAAAATGTGTTCCTCGTCTCTCAGGCAAATGCACAGGAATGGTTACGTAACAACCAGGGTCAAAGATTTAATGGAACATTTGTCTGGGACAAAAAGTGTTCAACAGCCATGGCCTGACAGTCATTGTAACACCTAGCAGAGGTTAAGTTAGTTGCGTATCATTTACAGGTCATTACAGAACTAACCCCAGCAGCCCCTGGCTGTTGTGTGGTTTCTCTAGGCAAAGTTACGTACAGTAGTTTGCCATTGATTTCTGGAAGGTGCATGGCCCGCAGCTGGGATCGAACCCCGCACCCTGGCATTACAGAGCGTTCGCATCGACTTAGCCACAGAGCCGACACCTAGCAGAGACACACTAAAAAGGTTAACAAAATATCTCAGGCTGGTTAGGTTTTTCTCCTTCTTCTTCTTCCACTGGCTGTGAATTCTGTTGGAAGGTCCCGGTTGATCGTCCTCTTGAACTTCTGGCTTTTACCTGGACCTGAGTTTAGCGTGTACAACCGTTTTACCAGTTTTTGCCTTTCCCTGCCTCACCGGCAGATGTATTCCGACTTCGAGGGAAGACGTCAGGCCTACCTCTAAGAAAATTGTGGCCATTGTTTTGTGTGGTTCAAGATGTTGCCTTATTTGTCTTGTGTTCACTTTGTCCCTTTATCTACAGGTGTTGCCCCAGGACGGAGTACCCAATTTGGGGCAGCCCTATATAGAATGCTGGGTAGGTTAACTCTTTCTCCTCCCTACAATTTACCACATGTTTAAGAACTTGTCCAAAGACAGTAAACTTGTCTAGCTCTCTTCTATTGCAGACAGTTGTGTCATTAAATCATTATTTCCTACTTATTTAGCTCCTTGTCATAGCCTTAGTGTGCTCTGTGGAAGCAAATTAAAGCTAGTAATAAACTGAATGGTAAATTAGTACTGTTGTTTTGAGCTGAAACAAAAAACTAAAACAATAACAAGTTACAAACATTCATTAACTAGTTATTACACTGAACAGAAGAACTATAACGTAAGGAGTCAATTAATAACTAAACTCTAAAGTTTATGTAACAAGTGACTAGAATATAAGGCGTAAAAGTAATAATTTGAGCTCTGAGATTTAAAGAAACAAGTGACCAGAACATAAGGAGCCAATGTAATAATTTGAGCTCTAAGATTTAAGGTAACAAGTGACCAAAACATAAGGAGTGAATGTAATAATTTGAGCTCTAAGATTTAAAGTAACAAGTGACCAGAACATAAGGAGTGAATGTAAAAATTTGAGCTCTAAGATTAAAAGTAACAAGTGACCAGAACATAAGGAGTGAATGTAATAATTTGAGCTCTAAGATTAAAAGTAACAAGTGACCAGAACATAAGGAGTGAATGTAATAATTTGAGCTCTAAGATTTAAAGAAACAAGTGACTATAACATAAGTAATCAATGTAATAACTAGAGCTCTGAGATTTGAAGTAACCAGTGACCAGAACATAAGGTGTCATTGTAATAATTAGAGCTCTGAGATTCAAAGTAACAAGTGACTATAACATAAGCAATCAATGTAATAACTAGAGCTCTGAGATTTGATGTAACCAGTGACCAAAACATAAGACGTCATTGTAATAATTTGAGCTCTGAGATTTAAAGAAACAAGTGACAAGAACATAAGGTGTCACTGTAAAAAATTGAGCTCTGAGATTTAAAGTAACAAGTGACTATAACATAAAAAATCAATGCAACAACTAAAATTATTAAATTTAAAGCAACAACGACTGAAGTAGACAATATTTCTTTTTTTACCCAGTAACTCTGGAGGCATCAAGGAAGAAAGTTCTGGTGAAAACTTGTGCCCAGCCACTGGTTCAGCAGCCTCTACATCTCCAGCAATTGAGCCAGAATCCGGAGAGCCAACATTACTTTCCTCTTCAATACTGCTGATGGTTGCTATGGAGATGCTGTCCATTTCAATGTCCAGTCCTTGCATGAATTGATCCTCAAGGTCATCCCCGACAGATACTGTTGTCAGCAAGACTTCACCTGTGTGGTGAAATTACATTTAAAATACTGAAATCAAAAGCGATACTTTATGCTGCCTCACTAGTGAAGGTCATTTCATAGCAGATACTGCCACTGGGGTTATGAGTTAAGGACCAATATTATAGCCCTCTGGACATTCTCATAAGCTCTCCATCCCCATCTTTAGCAGCAAGCAGAAAATTCCACCAGAATGTCTCTGGAGAACTCCTCTTCTAGGGTTTGCAGCTTGACTGGAAGTACTCTTCCATAACTCCAGTTTGCGTTTGGAGAACTCCTCTACCAAGGCTCCAGCTAGAATGTAGTACTCTTCGATGACTCCAGTTTGCCAGGGAAAAACTGCTCTCCTAAGGCTCCAGCTTGACTGTAAATACTTTTTCATGACTCCAGTTTGTTCTGAAAGTACTGCTCTCTTTACAAACTGAGTAGAATTTCAGTATTTTTGTATTCTTGAACCTTCGCATTCTACAAATTTGTCTAAAATATGTAATTTTAAAAACCACAACATACTTCTTCAGCATTTGTGAAATGGTCAGCTAATCTTCTTCTTCTTCTTCCTTCACCGGCTGTGAATTCTGGCGGAAGGTTCCGGTTAGTCGTCCGCTTGGACTTTTGGCTTTTACCTGGACCTCAGTTTTGTGTGTACAACTGTTTTGCTGTTCCCTGCCTCGCGGGCAGATGTACTCCGACTTTGAGGGAAGACGTCACGCCTATTTCTAGGATGACTGTGGCCGTTGTTTTGTGTGGGTCGAGACGTTGCCTGATTTTTGTGGTGTCCTCTTTGTCGCCTTCTCCGCAGGTGTTGTCCCCGGAGTACCCCTTTGGGGCAGCCCCTTGTGGAACGGTTAGCCCTCAAGGGAAGGCAGGGGCAGATCATGGGCATTCCCCGCCATCCAAGGAGGCTTCCATGTATGCAGAGTTGGCACATGGCGCTCTGGTCCTGGGCTCACCCAAGGAATCGTCACGTCCTGCACATGCCTGCTTAACCTCACAACCGTATTAGGCCTCCCGCTCGACAAGGGCTGTGCCCTCCGAAATCAGCGGGGAGCAGCCTGTGGGTTCTGGACTTTTGTGACCACACGAATAGGTACATTCTTTTTCTTCGCACGTTAGATATCTTTGACGAGCCGTTAGCACGACAGAATTTAACATCCTGTGTCAGGCATATCATTATCTTGTTTGGTCCCAACACTCTGGCTAGTGGGGTCTTTGGGTGTGGACATTTGGACTTTTTCCCATTCAATACGATTTGTCTTGTCAAATTTTGAGCTTACTTGTGTGCCGTAGGATCTAGTTTTCTCAGACATTTAGGCTTAGCCAGCCAATGGGCTGTTGCTATTGTGGTGTACCTCAGCGCAGTGACGACGACACTGAGGGTTAACAGAGGATGTACATGGGTAGAATCATGCTGCGAGACGCCACCCACAGAAGATGTTACTCGTCTGTGCTGCGGGTAAATCTCTAGGTCAAGGGTTAAGTTTCAGCAGAACAATGTTCTCTTCACTCCGCAATCTTTTAACCAAGGGTTGTAATTTTAGTAGTACGTTTGGCAAGCACTTTACTCATGTTCCTAATGAGTTTTGATAACCTTTTTCATCCATGCGTTTGGGGGCGGGCTGAAGAGAGCCACAAGGACACATCACCTCTGGGGGCCGCCAAACTCTGAGATCCCCTGACAGCTCTGTTAATGCTCATTTGAGACATTATCCGTGGCGCACGAGGAGGACGTGCTGCAGGGGTCTTGCGTGAGGTTCTGTAAAACCAGAACAGTGAAGGACTGGCATCTGAGTGACGTACTGAGTTTCTCCTTATACACATCATGTTGGACTTAACTTTCCCACATGCCTGTGACATAAATCACCGCGCAACGGTCAGCTAATTAATATACATATGTAGCCACAGGAAAGAAAAAACACTGAAATTGTTCTACTTTTCTTTATTTACTGATTTTATGTCAAAGGCTCATTCTGCTACACTGCTGTAAGTAGTCTGGGCATTTCTTTAACCGTCTTCAATATGCTACCTGTAATTATAACCATTCTTCTTCTTTTGTTCACATGAAATAAATGATCTATATCTGCAATGTTGTTTCTAGTATGAACCTAACTGTCTTTGGTAATTCACTCAGCGACCCATCAAGTTTGACTTGCACTGATGTTTCTCTTGGCATTATAATCACATTTGATTGGTCCCCGTGTGGGTTCAGGGGCCCTATTATAGGGAAAACAAGAATAGACCCACTTACTAAACAAAAGCATGTCATAAGAGTCGACTAATTGGGAGCTTCCTTCGAAGTCGGAGTCACCTGTCTGAGAAGCAAGGAACCAGCAGCCTGAATACAAATGAGTCAGATCTGTAAAACAGATGCACACGCAACACTCAGGTTCTGGAACAGGACTGCAGTCCAGAAGTGGATGAACAACCAGAACTTTCCGCCAGAGTTTACAGCTGGTGAATGCGAAGAAGAAGAAGAAGAAGATATTTGACTGGTTGTTATTAAATTGATATATTGTCTACTTCTTACCCTTGCTTGCCTTCTCTGGATTCACATCTGCAATATAAAATACAAATACATGTTCAGATAAAGAAGTTACACTGCCTGAGATGTAAATAAAGTATATACAAATCTATAAATCATTACAATAAAATTAATATGTAATATGTGGGTTCATTCTAGCATATTTTCTTTGGGCCAGAGTGGCTCTGGGATTCTTACTTGTATGCAGACTGTCGGCTCCTCCCCTGTCAGACGGATGCACTCCAACTCTGGAGGGAAAATCCCTAATTAGTCACTTTTTGTGACGTGCCTGTTAGGAAAGTGGGTCTATTTTTATTTTCTCCCAAAATGAGGCCCCCAGACGGCACAGGGTAAGCTCTGAGATTAACCTAGCCTCATTAAAATCGGTACTATGTTTTTTCCAGAATTTTCTGGGAATACTCTAGAAAGGGAAGATGGTCAGAAAGGGAACTTCAAAGATCCACATTAGCAATGCCTTGCTTCTAATATGGCAGGGCTATTCAACTGACAGCCCATGGGAGGCATCTGGCCCCCATAAGCTTAGCAAGTGGCCTGTGGATAACCTGCCAATTGAATTGTACTAATGATCTTTGCCACTGGCCTGCAACTACACCCATTTTCCCCACTTTTTAACCCCTGAATCAATTTAGTTCAATGCCCCTGTAATATGGTCATAAACTGGACAGTGTGCTTGAGGTATTGAGCTATTTAACTTACTTGACTCAGGGGCCACAATTTTTAAAATTGGGATCATCACAGGCCAGAGGTTTAAGCCCCAGTGTCGAAAGATCACTAAAACAGTATTACTGGCAATGATCTGTGTGCCACTTCTTAGACCTCCACGGGCCAGATTTGGCCAGCGGGCCACCAGTTGAATAGCCCTGCTCTAGAGTTTGCTTTGCTGAACCAAAACCACATGCAGTAGAGTTAGTAAAACCCATATCATGTAGGTGTGCTGAATGTACTGCGTAAATAAAACATATTCTTAATCTTAGTGTTCACCAGCTGTAAACTCTGGGGAAAAGTTCCAAGTTGTTTATCCACTTCTGGACTTCAGTTCATTTTCAGAATTTTTGCATGCAAAAGTCCCACTTTCTGTTGGGTCTTTCTCCCCCCCCCCCCCCCCCCCACTTAAGCCAAAAGTCATCTAAGACCCGCTCGCTTTAGCCCATTATTTATTCTTCCTTATTTATTCTTCTCTTCCTCTGACCGCTAACGACAATCACTAAAACTATATCACTACAGGAATACATACAAAGACTTGCATACCCGGTGAAAGAGAGCGGAGAACATTCTCTTCATTCCTCTTTCTTCTCTTCTTCGACACCCTTACAGGTTGTGCAATTGTAGAATTTTCATCTAAACATCAAAACAAAACCAAAAATAGTTAATTGACAAATTTTTTTCAGCAATGTAAAATATAGTTGACAATTACAGCTGCAAACAAAAACAAACATAAACTGCTATGATACAGAAGAAGCAATAATTCTTTTTCTTTGCCCATCTTTTTAATCTCCTAATGGACTATATTGTACTTGTCTTTAAAATGTGACCTCTGACCTTTACTTACCAAACCATGTCACTTCCTGTTGGCCATCTTTCTGGAGACTGCTGCAAATCAGTCTTCATTTCATAGCATTACAGTACACCAGGCTTTTCTGTGACTCCTGGAATCCAGTCCTAAATCTTCTTCTTAGCATTCAATGGCTGTTAACTCCGACAGAAAGTTCTGGTTGTTTGTCCACTTCTGGACTTCAGTCTTGTTCCAGAACTTGAGTTTCACGTGCACATCTATTTGTATGCAGACTGTTGATTTCTCAAATTTAGGCAAATGTACTCTGACTTCAAAGGAATACCTCTAAACAGTCACCTTCTATGACATGCTTGGTAGGTTGCAATGAGTCGATTCCTCTCCCACCACTCCCAAAAAAACATATGTATAAAAAGGCTGAGTTACTTTTCTGTACTTATTTTATGCAATGTTGGTTTCCTTTTGTTTTGTAAGCTGAGCAAAAGCTTTATAGTGGCAGTGTTCATTTTGGCACTATATTCTTGTAAACTTTACAACTTTGTGGGTAGGTCATACAGTCCGCATGCCTGACTATCAACTGCCAAAAATAATTTTCTGTGGTGAGCTACTTACAGAAAATCGCTTTCAAGGTGGAAAAAGGAAACGTTTCAATGACAGTCTCAAGACTTCACTGAAAGACTTTTGTATTGATGCTAAAACCTGGAAAGTCGCTGCATGTGACCACTTATCCTGACGCTCCTCTCTTCATCGAGGAACTGTGGTCCATGAAGCTGCTAGAACTGCAGCAGCAATTTAGAAAAGACAAGCTAGGAAAGACACTGAAGCGAATCACCAGAGAGATGTGGCTTCTATTCCCTGTCCACACTGCTCAAGAACTTTCAGTGCTAGAACTGGCATTATCAGCCATCAGCGAACTCACAAAACCTAACTCAGTCACCACTGGATGAAAGGACTGGTCATCATCATTGTCATGGATGAACAACAACAATATTCTTGTAAACCTAATCAGCTTTACTCTGTACCTTCTGGCACGTTGTAAAAAGCAAATAATTAAGAAGTTGAAAAAAGCAACTAATTGAGAAACTGCTGAAACTGGATGAGCTAGGCTGAAAGGTGTAAATACTTCAACCTGGCTGTAAACTGCCTTTTTGATGATAAAGAGAGAAGAAGTCAGTGTACTCAAATGATCTCCAGCCAGCTCAAGCCAAATCATGTGTATACTTGCTAATGACTTTGGATTCATCCAAGGGCGTAAATGCATGTGCCCAATTACAATATGGATGTGATATCTGCCCCTTTTGGCTGACACATTTGTTGTCCAGGTTAGCCTTCCCATTCAATTTCAGAGGACACTGCAGCTTTATTGTTGTGAGGTAATTTTTCTTTCCTAGTTCATCTCCCACCCCAGGCCCTGCCTAGAGCAGCCATGTAATGCTGGTCAGCCCTCAGGAGAAGGCAAGGACAGAATATGAGCCTTAGCCGCCATCCAAGGAGGCTTTAATAAATGCAGTAATGGCGCTCAGGTACTGGGCTCACCCGAGGAATCATCATGGATTGTAATCTGTAGGTAGTTTTTTATGGAGTGGGGCAAGTCTTCTTTGGAGTGTGGGCACTTAGGGCCCCATCTGCCATCCCCAATTCGCTCTTACATCATGCATTTTCTGTTTGGGCCCTTTGGCCCATTTGGATTTTGTGGGTGGTGCGGTTGGGGAGGTGGGGGGGGGGGGATATGGACTGTCTGTCCCTTACCAAGTATATTACAAAAGGCAACTGATAAAGTCAACATCTGTGGCTTAGGCGTTGAGAATGTGCTTCGTAATGCCAGGGTGCCGGGTGCAATCCCAGCAGTGGGCCCTGCACCTTGCGATGGTTTCGACAGTGGTATGAGAGGCTGACTATCCAAAAAGCAATGGCAAACTACTGGACGTAAATTTTTTAGAAACAGCCCAAAAAATGCTGGGGTTGGTTTTGCAATGTCCAGTAAAGACTACACAACTAGTAGTTCAAGGATATTTGGGAAAAAGAAGTGTTGCCTGATGACTGGACTGAAGGAACAATAGTCAAAATCCCCAAAAGAGGAGACTTAACAGACTGCAATAATTGGAGGGGAATTACTCTACTCTCAGTACCAAGCAAAATATTTTGTAAAATCATCATAATGCCTACGAGTGGAACAAGCAGGATTAAGAAAGGGCAGAGCAACAACTGAGCACAACTTCGCCATACGTAACATTTTAGAACAATGCAACGAATGGCAGAGAGGTATGTATTTTAATTTTGTGGACTTTGAGAAAGCTTTTGACAGCGTCCATAGAGACGGTCTGTGGAACATTTTACGACATTATGGAATTCCAGAAAAAATAGTCAACATAATTGCTCTCTTCTAAAAAGACTTTTCCTGCAGTATAAAAAATTGCAATACATCTTTTCCAGTAAAGACGGGTGTAAGACAGGGATGTGTTATGTCATCTCTCGTCTTCAACCTTGTGATCGATTGGATACTAAAGAACACAGTAGACAGGACACTAAGAGGCATACGATGGACTCCATTCACCATGCTTGAGGACTTTGATTTTGCAGATGATAAAGCACTCCTATCACATAAACATGAACATATACAAGAGAAAAGTAACTAAACTGCACAGCAGAAATGGTGGGACTGAGAATAAATACAAAGAAAACTAAGATCATGACAAACAGTCCAAACCAACAACAAGTGACCATAAGTAACCAATCACTTGAAAATGTAGAACATTTCACATATCTTGGCAGTGTGGTGTCCCACCTGGGAGGGACAGAGGAAGACATACAGTCACATCTGAACAAAGCTAGAGCTGCTTTTGGAAAAATGAGGCAAATTTGGAAATCCAACAATTACTGCAGAGGAACGAAACTCCGACTCTACAAGAGCATCATTTTGCCAGTTCTTCTTTATGGAGTGGAATGCTGGAGAATGACCAAAAAGGATGCACACAAGCTGTCCACCTTCCACCACACATGTCTACGTAGAATTATCAAAATGTTATGGCCAGATACAATCTCAAACACTAAACTACTTCAAGCCAAAAACCAAGAAACTTTAGACAGTATGATTACCAAGAGAAGATGGAAATGGCTTGGCCACGTTATGAGAATGACTTCTGATATACCTGCCAAAACAGCTCTCACATGGATACCAGAGGGAAAGAGAAAACAGGGGCACCCAAAAACAACATGGAGACGAACGATGGAAAGTGACCTGAGGGTGGCATCTTTGACATGGAAAAACTGCACTGAAGATTGCACAGGACAGGAAAGCATGGAAAGTCCTCTCTGAAGCCTCATGTGCCACTAGGCATAACAAGAACTGATGATGATGATGATGAGAGGCCGATTTTCCAAAAAGCAATGGCAAACTACTGGGCGTAAATTTGCCTAGAAACACCACAACAGCCCAAAAAATGCTTGGGTTGGTCATGCAATGTCCGGTAAAGACTACACAACTAACTTTTTAACTGAAAAAGGATTCACTGAAACTGAATGTGTTGAGTCAAAAGGTGCAGATATCACAGCCCATCTGTAAACCATAATGCAATAAGCCAACTGCACTTTATAGGGGATGAGTGGGGAGAATACCATTACTGCAGTCTTTACTTCCCATTGCATTTCCTCGTAAACATTTTTGGCTAGGCTGATATGGAAGCCAAGGCCAGTCTTTAATAATGTACCATGGTGTATGGATTCCGGGGCTCTTTTATAGGGAACACAAGAATAGACCCACTGCCTACACAAAAGCATGTTGTAAGAGTTGACTAATTGGGAGCTTTCTTCAAAGTCAAAGTGCATCTTCCTGAGGGACAAGGAACCAACAGTCTGCACACAAATGTGTCAGATCTGTCAAATGGATGCACACACAAAACTCAGGTTCTGGAACAGTGCTGCAGTCCAGAAGTGGACGAACAACCATAACTTTCCGCCAGAGTTTACAGCTGCTGAACGCAAAGAAGAGGAAGATAGGCAAAAGCTGAAAGTACTTACTGTGTAACAGATTCAGTGGAGAAAACTTCATTGTTGGATGGTTCTGGTCCGAGCTCGATAGTTCTCCTCTACTTATAGCAATCGCAATATTATCTGAATGATCTGGCTGTGAATCTAAACTTTGTGAGGATGCTGCTACACCAGGATGCTTTTCCAGTTTAGACTGAGAAAGTTCAATGTCCTTACAAGAGGGCACTTTGTTCTGGGTAGAAAGTAAAAGCTCTACTTCATGTTTCTTACGATCGTCAAAATCGGTACTCTCTGACGTTTTATCTTCTGAAGCATCTTTGCGATGCTGAGAAGAACCAAGCGTATTCTCACTTGATATGCAAGACAAATATTCAGTGGAATAGGAATCATCAATGATATCTTTGTGTGTGCTGCTCTGGTCATCAATGAAATCTTTGTGTGTGCTGCTCTGGTCATCAATGATATCTTTGTGTGTGCTGCTCTGGTCATCAATGATATCTTTGTGTGTGCTGCTCTGGGGCTTCACAAGGTATGTATCACCTTCCGAGAATGAAAGATCACTTGCTCCTTCTTGTGCAGATGTTCTTCTTTCTAATGTGCAAGGAAAACTTTCAGAATTTGCAGAAAATCTTCTTTCAGTCACAAAATTAAATGTAACATCCCTTTCTGAAATACCTTCAGTTGCTTTCACTTGCATACTAGAGTTTTCTATAAACATGGAGTTGACATTTTGAAAATCATTTGATTCATTGACATTATCAAGAATGGCACATTGATACAAAGATTCATCTGCAACATTGTCAACCTTTTGCACTTGACTAGCCATTAAAGCAATTTCAGCAGCATAGCTACTGTTCTTATCTAAACTGCTATCTATTGTCATATCATCACACAATAACTGGCTTTGATTATCATACATTTGTGAATCAGACGAAGGAATGATGTCTTGTGCTATGTGTGTAGCAGGAAGTAAGCAGTTTTCCGACTGCAGCATACTGTTGTCTAATTCTACTACATGTTCTTGGTCTGAATTATTCCATAGATTAAAATTTTCCTTTTGTGCATTCCCACTTTCCCATTTCGAGTCCTTAGCAGAAAACTGCTCAGAAATAGCCCATTCACTAACTGGCCCTGAAGGAGGTATTCTGTCTTCCTCTGCTTTATCTAGATTAATTACACCACTGTTTTCTATTTGTTCATTGTTGCATTCTTCTTTCTGTTTCCCTTCAACAGGTGACTCAGTAACACTATAACTTTCTATGTGGGTATTACTCCTCTGAAGCTCAATATCATCTGGGTCTAAACAGCTTCTTGTTTGTACATTATTCATATCTTCAGCTCCTAGAGAGTTCACTTTTTCCAGCGGCTTCTTTTCCCAGGGCTGTGTCACTGCAACACCTCCACTAACAATCACCATTCCAGATGGGAGGTAAGTGTGACCTTTGACCTCTATGGAATCCATGAAGTCATTAATGGCTTCGACAGATTCAACAGATCCTTCGCTGACATCCTCCATAAAGGCCTTGACCTTTTCCACAATTGCATCTTTGCCTTGGCTCTTCAAACCTAAAAAAAAACACACACAAAAATAGTTTTAATAGACTTCAATATTCTCTGACATTTTCCTGTAATGACATGAAGCATGAACAAATCTCAGCTTTCAGCACTGGTTTTACTTACACACACACACGTACATACACAAAATCACAAGCAACTTATCAAAAAGGTATTAGTTCTACAAGACTTTTTCTTCTTATTTTTTTCTTCTTCTGCATTCATCAAAAGATGTAATTCTGTTGTGCCCCTTTAGAGCATGGTTGTGATATTTGCACCTTTCAACGGACACATCTGACTTCTGTCAGCATTTATTGGCCAGGTTAGCCTTCACAGTGTTCTACAAGACAAGAAGAAACAAGTCTCTTCTTCTTCTTCTTCTCCTCAGCATTGATTAGCTGTCAACTCTGTCGAAAGTTCCTGGTTGTTCGTCCACTTCTGATTTTACACTTGTTCCAGAACCTGAGCTTTATGGGCACATCCGTCTTACGGATGTGGCTTATTTGTATGCAGACTGTTGCTTCCTTGCTACCCCCGTGTAGGTTCCGGGGACCCATTGTGGGGAAAACAAGAATAGACCCACTGCCTCCCCAAAAGCATGTCATAAGAGTCGACTAATTGGGGAGCTTCCTTTGAAGTCGGAGTGCATCTGCCGGAGAGGCAAGGAACTAACAGTCTGTATTCAAGAGAATGAGATCTGTAAAACTGATGCACACGCAACACTCAGGTTCTGGAGCTGGACTGCAGTTCAGTAATGGACGAGAAACCAGAACTTTCCGCCAGAGTATACAGCTGGTGTACGCAAAGAAGAAAAAGGAGGAGCTTCCTTGCTCCATAGGCAGATGCACTCTGACTGAAGCAAACACCCTAATTAATTGCCTTTTACAATAGCTTGTTATGGACACAGTGGATCTATTCCTTTTTTTGCCCTCAAAATGGGGCACCCAGAGCTCCCACAGTGAGAAGAAATAAGTAAAATTACAGCCTTTAACCCTTTTAGCACAGGAAGTTTTTCAGAGGTCTAGCCAAAAACACTGAGCAATTTTTCAGTAAATTTGGTTACTTTATTTAATTTTTTGGACACATTTCTTTTATTCTGACACCCATGTTTGAAGGATATAGATTGAAGTTCATGATTTTCCACAATATCGTTAAAATTAATTGATGCATATGCAAATTATCTCATTTGCATATCTAAAAATAGAAAATTAGAATGTGAATTTTCAACTTCAATGCATGAAACATATAACTAAAAACAAAAATATATTTTATTTGAAATCATTTTATTGATCTTTGGCCTTTTTACAAATGTTGTAAGCAATTCAACAGTCAAAAACAGGTATATATATATGAAACAGCAATAATATCTTTAGGTGACATGTGTTTTTCACCATCAGTCAGCACAAGAAATGGATGTACCGGAGTGTCAACACCTTCGAGTGCATATTGCATATACCCTGAGCCATAGTTGGGCTGTGGTCTGAACACAGCGTCCCCATCTGATTCCCCAATATTAATACTAACACTAGATCCTGCATCAGTATCAACAGAATTAGTGTCATCACTTGATTCAAATGTTTAATCAACATCAAGTTTAGGGGCAGAAACATACGAGTCAGACATACTTTTAGCGGTTCAGGTTACTTTCTAAAAATTTCAACAACAATTTTCACTTCGATACCAAACACTCGAAAGTCGCCATGTGTAAAGCTAATACAGCAGTGAATATAAATGAATCACTTTCAGTGTTTCAAAATAGGAGATTTTTTAGCGGTTCGAGGCGAAACACGATCGGGCCGATGATCGGCCGTTCCGTGTTTTTTGGCCAGACATCCACCGGCCGATAATCGGCCCGTCCGTGCTAAGAGGGTTAACCTACAAGAATCGGTTCTAAAAGAAAAAAAGAAAAAAACTACAAAAAATGTGCAGGCATTGGTTCTATTTGATAAGAAGAAACAAAACAACATCAAATCTGCAGGCACTAGTTCTACATAACAATAATATGTAGGGGAACAAACATGACATCAAAGCTACAAAATTGGCCCATGAGATGTTAAAAAAAACATACCTGCAACAGTTAAAAATAAGTACACACACATACAAAAATACCAAATTTAACAACAACAAAAATACATTAAACCTGCAACACTGGTCTAGGACATAAGTCAAATACATTATATCAAATCTACAACATTGGTCTACAAGACAAGAAGAATCAAGTAAAAAATCTACAACATTGATCTACAAGACCAGAAGAGAAAACTAAAAAATCTACATTAAACCTGCAACACTGATATACAAGAGAAGAAGATACAAGTAAGAAATCTAAATCAAACCTGCAACACTGGTCTACAAGGCAAGAAGATACAAGTAAAATATCTAACTCAAACCTACAACATTGGTCTTCAAGACAGGAAAACTAAAAAATCTACATCAAACCTGCAACACTGATACACAAGAGAAGAAGATACAAGTAAGAAATCTAAATCAAACCTGCAACATTAGTCTACAAGACAAGAAAAGAACAAATCTACATCAAACCTGCAACATTTGTCTACAAGACAACAACAATAACAAAAAAAGCACACTACCCCATCTTCTTCTTAGGTATTCATCCTTAAAATGGCAGTTGGCATGCTGTGGTTTACAGCTGGGCTGCGATATCTGCACCTTTTAACCCAAAACAACCAATTTCCACAAATCCTGAATTAGTTGCCTTATACAAGATGCTTGTCAAGGAGGCAGTAAGCCTGTTCTTTCTTCCCTGAAATGCAACTCTGGAACCCACATATGAACGACCTCAATCAAACCTGCAACATGAATTCTTCTTCTTCTTAGCATTCACAGACAGTAAACTTCTGCAGAAAGTTCTGGTTTTTGTCCACTCCTGAGCTTTGGTCTTGATACCAAACGTTTGTTTTGTGTGCACATCCATTTTACAAACCTAGCTTATTTATGTGCAAACTTTTGGTTCCTGGCCTGTCTAGTATCACTTCCCGTTCTTTTTAGGATCAAATTTTTCGTTATTTGAAGCCCAACTTTGGCTCTTGCCAGGGGCCGCAATATAGCCCGGCCATAAATATGGCCTAATGGCTGAACGCGGTTTCTGGGACCTCTCCACAGTGATCCTAATCCACATGGTGGCACATTGTGTCATCTGGTGTTTATCGCTTGTGTGATGTCCTGGTGGGGTAGAAAGTCAGTCAGTCCTGGCCTGTCAGGCACTATGACTTTAAAGGAAACACCCTTAATTAGAAATACTCGTTAGGGGGCAGTGGGTTGATTTTTTACTCTCCCAGAGCCACACGTGAACAACATGGATTATACAGTTGAGTTGCGTCAAGAATGGACATCACAGCACTCAGGGCATTTCCATGCGTGCTCCATCGTTATCTTCAACAGCCAGCGCAGATTCCTCGTTATCTTCAACAGCCAGCGCAGATTCCTCGTTATCTTCAACAGCCAGCGCAGAGTTCCAATACTGATGATACCAGTCACAATCTGGTTATAGGTCTGTCTTGCCTTTCCTCTGAGTGTAGTGAGGCGGCCATACCCTCTGGCCTCATTTTCTCCAGGCCATGATCATCTTAATAATCCTGGATTTTACAAGACATGAAGAAACAAACAACACTACTGCTTTAAACCTACACTAACTAGTTTTACCAAACAAAAGAAAAAAAATGCAACAAACCTGCAAGAATGTCTTTCAGTAGATCCCTCTTAACCTTCTTCATCACAGCCAGTCTGACACCCACCTGATCAGCAGCAAGCAGAAGGCTGGATGAGAGTGTCCACAACCCTCTGTTGCACAAAACTATAAACAGCTGGTAAATCGGAAGTAAGGTCACCCTGTGTATGGAGCCGCCTTCAAGAAACAGGTAGACATCGTTGTTGTAGACACTCATGTCTTTGATTCCTGGGCAACAACAGAAAGAACAGTCACAATAATCAATGCATTTTATAGAGGGGTAGACACATTGCTCAGACATTCATACCTTTGTCGCCGTGGCGTAGCAACTAGACACTCACTTGCGGATCGGAAGGTCATGGGTTCGCTCTCTTGCGGGGCCTGACTTTTTTAAAAATGACCTTGACTCCTAGGTCGACCTAGCCTTGAATGGGTACAGGGTGCAGTCCCGGGAAGTAAAGGTAACCGGTATGATGCTGACCACACCACCCATCTTGTGCCGATTGGTCTATATTAATATAGGTCTAGCCCTATATGCCCAAAGGCATGGAAAAGGGACCTTTACTTACACGACAGGTGGTGTAGTCTAAATTACATTTGCCAGCTTCACTTCTCAGGACATTACCTGATACTCATTTGAGGCTGGGACGGTCTGGAAGCTGATGTCAGTTCTGACAAAATCCCACTTTGTGTGGATTTTAACATAAAATCTTTAGATCTATCGACAAGGGTCTTGTCGCTGCACTACAATGGCTTCCATTCTCCCAAAAAAAGTCCATTAAATTTATTTTAGAGAGAGAAATATGTAACTGTTTGGACTGTTGTGGAACTAGTTGTTTAATCACAAGTTTTTCATATGCGACAGTGAGGGACATTTTCATTTAATTTGCACAGGAATAGAGCAAGTATGGGAAAACCCAATTGTGGTGATGTTTAAACCTCGCCTAACTAAGTAACTAAATATGTAACTGTTGTAGACACTCATGTCTTTGATTCCTGATTTAAGATTGAAGACATCTCAATTTTCAATAGAAATGTAATACAAAGCTGAATCTCTGAAGCTTACAAATAAATGTAAGGTTTCTTTTTCAGTCTTTGCCATCGTTTTCTTTCTACTTCCTGCTCTTCTCTTACTTCTGGTTCCTGTGTCTTCCATTTTCCACTGCTTTTTTATAATCTCGTTTATTCTTCTTCTACTTTTCAATATCCCGCTAATTACTTTTCAATTTCCCCCTTCTTCTTTCTCTACCACTTTTTCCTATTTCTTTACTTATGTCTCCTCTACTTTTCAGTTTTCTCCTTTTTTGGTCTTTTCCACTAATTCCTTTTCCCTTTTCCTTCTTTTCTCTTTCTTTTATTTTTCTTCTTTTCCAGTTCATATTTCTAGTGGGGTGGGGTGGGGGTGGGGGGGGGGGGGGAGACTTATGTTTATTTTTTTCCATTTCTTACTTCACTTCCTTTCACATATTTTCCACTTCCTTCTTCTTTTCCACTTTTTAGTTATTTGTTTTTTGCCCTACTTCTGTTTTCTTGTTTTCCACTTTATCCCACCTTTATCTTCATTTCCTACTTCTCTCCCATTTTTCCCTTCTTTTTTTTTTTCATTTCATTTTTCCTTCCCACTTCTTCCCTTCTTTATTTTCATTTCCTTCTTCTTTCCTATTCCTTCCCTTCTTTATTTTCACTTCCTTCTTCTTTTCCACTTTCTTTTTTCTGTATTTCATTTCCTTCTTCTATTCCACTTATTCCTTCATTTTTTTTTTTTTTGACATTTTGAGAGGACTTATACTGAAGTCTACAACAAGCTACAGCATCTAACTGTGACTCCGCATGTTCTCCTCTTAACTAATATGGTCCAAGATTATGATTGTAACTTGAGACTAAATTACCTGCAATGTCATAAGAGACAACAATTACCTTGAAAACTTTGGGTCCAGATCATGACTTTAACATTGATGGGGTCAAATAAGTACAGGCCTTTAGAGCTCCAGGTGATGATGAACTGACTGGAATATGATTAAAACATTGTAAAAGCTTACCAAAGATGCACATACAAGGCTTTTTAAAAAGTTTCACTACAATAGAGATTACACGCACCCCTCCACTTCCCTCAACTGATGTGCGGGGGCCTTTGCAAATAGGCCCTGGCTTCCAGGTGACCCAGCTTAGGAAGTAAAGGTGGCAAGCATGATGTTGACCAATCATCCATACAGTGCAGTTTGGTCTATGAATTATATGAGTCTGACATCATATGCCCAATGTGCCACTGATGTAATAAGGGTCTTCAGTGCTTTATTATTATCTTACCCCAAACAGGGGAAATCTACAGGTCACAGGACAGTCTAATATTTCAGGGAGTGGTAGATAGGATGCATGAAGTCATGGGACCTAGGCTGCACTCTCTCGTGGGACACAGGTGGGTTGGGGTTAGGGCCAGTTCTAGATGTTTTGGGGTTGTTTAAAGCATCAGAAAGCCGGGAAACCCAGTCTTACCACCCTCTAATATGTTGGACTGTCATGTGACGTAGGATATTAATTAAAAAAACTGGGTCCTCTACTTGGCTTGCTTACTCACTGATGTGTGTGTCTCCATCTTGGTGAGGTAAAGGGTCTTGTCATCTTCTTTTCCTTATGTTTACTTGCTGTAAACTCCAGTGACAAATTCTGGCTATTTGCTCACTTCTGGACTTTAGTTTTGTTCCAGAACCTGAGTGTTGCATGCACATCCATTTTAATTAAAGGTCTGACTTTCTGTATGCAGACTGTTGGTTTCATGCCTCTCAAGCAGATGCACTAAAAAAAAGCCTCTAATTAGTCCATTCTTATGACATGCTTGTTGGGGAGGCTGTGCGTCTATTCTGGCTTCCCACCAACCACAATGGGTCCCAGAACCCACCAGGGGAGGGAGGGGCCTAGGAAGTAAAGGTAGCAGGCGTGATGTTGACCATATCAGCCACAGTAAAGATTGGATTATAAAAAATGTGAGTCTGACTGTAAAAAGGGTCCCAAGAGCTATGCCGATGGTAGCTTAGTTGCTAGTCACTATTACTTTGACAACTATTTTACAAGGCTTCCACTGTTTTATTTGATACATTCCACATCACCTTTCTTTATAGTTTGTCACTTGACCCCTTGGTGGTTGGAGTACTCTGCTTCCCCATTTCACTTTTTTAATTACAGTTGACTGAATAAATTTTAACCTGAGGTTAGACAAACACCAAGTGATGAAAGAAGAGCATCCCACATACCTTGGAGTCACACTTGACAGGCAGCTCAGCCTCAAGAACAATATTGAAAACGTCAGGAATAAGGCATTGAGGCGGTTACAGTTATTAAAGAGACTTGCAGGTACATCATGGGGATCAGACAAGGAAACTCTGAGGGGCTTATATCTAGGATATGTTCGCTCTGTGATAGAGTACAACAACTCACTGCTTACAACTTGCTCCAAAACTAACCTAGAAATTCTTGACAGAGTACAAAATAATGCCCTCCGATTAATCTGCGAAGCTATGCAGTCTACACCAACTGCTGCATGTGAAATCCATACAAATGTGGAACCCCTCGGGTTGCGGAGAGAAAAAGCCACTTTAGAAATTTATAAAAGATGCATTAGAAAAAATCGTAACCATCCTAATAGACATTTTGTAGAAAACTGGGAATACAAACAAAGAATAAAGCACAAATCGGTTTTACACTGTGTTAATTAAATTTAGGACAGATACCACCTCCCAGAAAGACGTCAAGGAATTCAGAATGTTGCAAGAAACCTACCACCACATGCTCGCTTTAAAGCTCCAGAAGTCCGAATTAAATTGGTAGGCGAGGAAACCAAACAGTCCGACCCAATTGCTCTTATGAACTCATCACTAAAGCCAAGAATGGATACATGTCTTTACTGATGGATCAGCATTTAAAGCTACCATTAAAGCAGGTTACAGAATCTACATAGGTTATCCCGATGGATCTGTTGAAGAGATTTTTGATGCATGCGGGGAATTCTGTTCAAATTATGAAGCTGAAATAATTGCACTGGAAACAGCAGTATACCACCTAAAGACTGTAATGGATGTTTACCCTTCAAAGGTCCAAAATATTGTCATCTTCACAGATTCAATGTCTGCCCTTCAAGCTCTGGAGGGCAGTGAACGCTGCAGAACTGACATAGCCAAGATAATCCTGGATGCTGATCAGCTTATTACCCCATACAACATCAGAATAGTGATGCAGTGGATCCCAGGTCACTCCGGCACACCATGTAATGACAGAGCTGACAGATTGGCAAAGAAAGGAGCAACACAAGAACGACCACCTACAGCGACAACCCTCCAGACAGCAAAAACACTTATAAGAGCTATAAACAAAGAGACTTAGTTGAACAGATAGGCCATGAGAGACACTGGAAGAGAGGTTTAAAGACATATGGCTGGCCCTGATCCTAATGACAGCATTAACCATCTAACAAGAAGGGACCAGGCCACCATCTTCAGACTTAGAATGCAACATACTCCACTCAATGGACATCTAAACAGAATACAGCCACAAAACTCCCCAGAGTGCCAGCTATGTAACTACCCCTATGAAACTGTTGAACACCATCTCTTTGAGTGCCCAAAACTCAGTGAGACAAGAAGAACGCTACTCCCTCAGAGACCAGACAAGTGGAACACCTTGCACGGAGGAAAAAAACAGCTTGTGAAAACATGCAAATTCCACTACATGGCATTGGGCCAAAGGGCGAAAGCTCATGCGCTGCTGGATTGATAACAACAACAACTGAATAAATTTACTAGTAGTTAGACTGGTCAGTGATAGGGACAAGATGAAGGGTGACACAAACCTGCTTCCTTGCAGCCCCATCATCATCAAAACAATCATCCTATCATGCCATGATAAGCCACATAGGGCTCGCAGTCCAGTCCACTATTCTGCTACATTCTAGGCAATTCTTTTCATATCATGAATGGAATCAGGTTCAGCACCTTTGGCCTCTCCCATTTCCTCCGTCCATTTTTCTCAGTACACCCACTGCCCCCCCCCTAAACAAACATGTAAAAGACTATTAATTAGGGGTTTTCTTCAAAGAGAGTGCATGTGCCAGACAGCACTAGGAACGACACAAATTTAAGTGAATCAAATGGTGAGGACATGTTGCTGGCAGAGAATAGGACAAACACTGAGAAAACTTGATTATAGTGTAACTATATTTACCTAGCACTTGAACACACAAAGCCACCAAAGTAAAGGGTGACCAAAGAACACACAGAGAAGAGGCCCAGAAGCAAAAGGGAATGAGATGGAGAAGACGAATATGTTGATTCCTTCCACTGAGTTGGCCCACCCCCACCCCCCTTTCCTCCCCGGGGCCCCAGAAGCTACATCAGAAGTTTTATCTAAGATGATCCACAACTTGCACATTATTACCTGATATGAAACATTTTGCAGAAGTTGACAGAATGGCCTGCTTGTGGGACATTCGAAAAATCAAACTGCTCATTTCTAAAGAAAAAAAAAGATAAAAACAATATAAATTAATAAATAATTGAATACAGGCTAAAGAACATAATCTAAACTTCAAGAAAGCTTCCGTTATTATGATTCTTTCAAGTTAATGAGTTAGTAAATATGTATATTGGGGGTAAGGTTAGTTGAGTATCCTTTACAGGACGTTGCAGAAGCAATCCTAACAGCCCCTGGCTGTTGTGTGGTTTCTCTAGACAAATTTATGTCCAGTAGTTTGCCATTGCTTTCTGGACAGTCGGCTTTCTTAATACCGCTGTTGAAACCAACGCAAGGTGCGTGGCTAGGATCGAACCCGGCATCCCGGCATTATGAAGCGTTCGCATCGACTTAGCCACAGAGCCAACATATATTGGGGTAAAGAAAAAGATAATTCAATAATTCCCTGTTGTAAATCTGAACAAAGAAGACACAAACAACAGAATATACAATTTATTGCCTGGCATATTTGGCTATCGGTGTGATGCTGACCACATTCCCCATCTTGTGCCGTTGGTCTATAAAAATATGTGTCGAGCCCTATATGCCTAAAGATGTGGAAAAGGGTCCTTTACTTTACTTTTTATATTTCGCTGTATCTCGTCAGGTGCATACAACAGTAACAATTACATAAACAAGGCAGATAAGTGAATCATTTATAAGAGAATTATTTTGCTGAACTTGTCACTTGTTGAATGTTGAATTAAGAATCAACAACACAGCATTCAGGACACCCCCATAAGTGCTCCATCCCCATATTCAGCAGCAAGCTAAGATTTACAATTCTGATTGTTACTATAGTATGCATCTGATAAGATACAGCCAAACATGCCTGCAATAAAATGTGCAATCTACTGTTTGTGTCTAATTTGTTCAAAAGATAAACTGACAAGTTCATAACTCTACCACAAATATCCCTATGAACTAAAACACAGCAACTAAGAATGTATAATGAATTTTTTCATGCATGTCAAGCAAGCAAGCATGCACACACATACATACACAAAAGATAAGAATAATTTTAAGAGCAATAATTATAATAAAAAAGCTGTGTACTCACCCAAGCCTGATAACTGGAGTTGGCGCAACCGCCAGCAACTGTTTCAGCTGGTGAGTGTTTAGGACCTTGCCGTCTGAGCCAACCTGGCAATACAGATAAAAGAGAAACCCCAAATTACACTTCCTAAGGGCTGATGATTTTCCTCCCAGGGCATGCTGCTATGAAAGGCAATGAGAGAGCAGATGCTCTGACTATCAGAAATCGGCCCTATATGGACACAAGAGACGTCATCAATGCCATGAGAGACTAAACACTTTGAGGCTTTCAGTTACATGGAAAATGATTTTTCACTGAACAGACTGCAGACACTGGGTGTACCAACTGGAGCCTCAAGACAGAAAAACTTAGCAGGAGCCGCCTGTCGTTACATCAACCATCAGAAGATAATAGGGGTTGTTAGCCTAAAAACACTTAGTGACATACTCAGGAGAAGATCGGAGCACATATGGTCAAGTCCGATGTGTGATGAAGATTATCTCTAAAATCAATAATGATTATGACGTCTCGGTAAATACAAGATTTTTTTTGTGTTGATCAATAAATTAGGTTTTCTTATACATTAAAATATGACATAATTTTACGTTCAAGTAAAAGTGCCTGCTAGTGTTTAATGTCAGGTCTTGGTCAAATATTACTGAGCTACCATATAACAGTAGTCAATACTACCTGCTTTCTTATTAACTTGGTCAAATATGAATAAGTTACTATACAAAAACTGGGGTTGGAAGAGAATGGGGAGATACGGGCGACTTAAAAGTTGTGGGTTCAAATCCACATCAAGGTAAGATTTTGTATTCAAAATTGACCTTGACTCTCGGGTCGACCAAGCCTAAAATAGGTATCGAGTGATGTGATGGGAAGTAAAGGTGGCCAGCCTGATGATGACATCACCCACTATATTAGCGCAGTCGATATGAGGTTCGCTTTCAAATCCAGCTGCGACTAGCTGCAGCCACGGTCGGTGTTCTAAACCAGGTGGTTCCCAGGGTTCACCCAGCCTCTAGGAAATGGGTACCAGAGTGACACTGGGGTAAATGGAGGAATGTTGCTGTAGCTACAGAGTTACGTGCAGACAGCCACACAGGCGGACAGTTTCTTAGCTGTCCGTACTGGTGGCAAAGCACTTGTGGTTTATAACCATGTGCAATGACGTTGGTTCACATCTCCTGACTTTTACCTTTAGCTTTTTCTTTTTACCATGAGCCAGATTGTCTGTGGGAACAGAGACACAGCACTAAAGTCCCAATAGGCCATTTTTGGGGAGAAACGAACAGACCTATTGCTCCTTAACAAACATATCATAAAAGGTGAATAATGAAGGATTTGCTGAAATCAGATGCATTTGACTGAAAGACCAAAGAACAATGTAATAGCTCTGCCGCCCCTTTAAGGGCTAACAGTGAAGAGGAAGAGAAAAACAGTCTTCCAAATGATTCACAATCTTCCCCATGTGGGTTCCGGGGCCCTATTATAGGGAAACAAATTAATAGGCCTACTGCCTACCCAAAAGCATGTCGTAAAAGTCGACTAATTGATAGTTTCCTTCAAAGTCGGAGTGCAACTGTCTGAGAGGCAAGCAACCAGCAGTCTGCATAGAAAATGAGTCAGATCTGTAAAACGGATGCACACATAACACTCAGGTTCTGGAACAGGACTGCAGTCCAAAATTGGATTAACAGCCAGAACTTTCCGCCACAGTTTACAGCTGGTAAACATGAAGAAGAAGAAAGATTCACAATCTGCACCATTCTAAAAAGGCAGATAAAAACTTTGAACTTCTTCATTTTGTTCTTCTTTTGTCTTGTACTGCCTTTCAGTACCAGGTTTTGAAGGCATCAAGTGACAGCCTTAGTATGTGCTTTGTAGATGCTTATCTTTACAGCCTCAGGTATTCCTCAATTCATTGTTTGCATAGTAGACCTCTGGCTCTGCTCTCATTGTGTCTAAGTGACAGGGCTTTCTCTGGAGCACTGTCTAATGATAGTCTTCATGCATGATTAAATCACTTGGTCTGTTGTCTCTTGATGTCTTTTAGTACCGGTTCCATCCCAACTTCTTTCCTTATCCTGCCTCTTCTAGACACATTTAGTCTGTTGTTCCGATTTCCTCTTTTTTTTTGTCCATGTTTGGAAATGATAACACGTTAGTTTTCAAAAAATATATAAAATACTGTACTTAATAGTGCTCTTTTGTGTCAATTGTTATGTGTTAAAAGTTACAACAAATACTGTATACGGATTACCTCCCACATACGTGACCCAGGCCTGGCACAGTAGATAACAGTGGCTTTTGAATTTGGCTCCATATAAAAGCAAGAGCCATACTCTCCTTGTCTGTTTAAACAAATTATATATTTTAATTAACTGTGTGTAAAGTAAGAACAAAGTAAAGGATCATTTTCACATCAATGGCATACTGGACATTTAGCAATAGACTCATATATTTATAGACCAACTGGCGCTCACTAGGTGATGTGGTCAATATAATGCTGGTCATCTTTACTCCCAGGACATGTCCTGGTATTCATACAAGCCTGGGTCAACATGGGAGTTCAGGTTAATTTTCAGAATCAGCCTCAGTGTGGATTCAAATCTAAGACCTTTAGGCCAAATGGTAATTCTCCGGTCACTACTACACCACAGTTGAACTGGAACAATTTGAGAGATTCCCAGTGTCGGTTCTGGGGCCCCGTAGTGGGGAAAGCAAGAATAGACCATCTGCCTCCGCAACAAGCATGTCATAGGAGTCAACTAATTGGGGACTCCATTTGAAGGTGCATCTGCCTGAGAGGCAAGGAAACCAACATACAGTTAAGTCAGATCTGTTTAAAAAGATGTTCACACAACACTCAGGTTCTATAACAAGACTGAAGTCCAGAGGTAGACAAACAACCAGAACTTTCTGCCGGAGTTTACAGCTCGTGAACGCGAAGAAGAAGAAGAATTTGATAGAAAATGGGTCAATGTGATTCCCCTTCTTCCTTTACATTCTGCCTCTCTCTCTCTCTATATATATATATATATATATATATATATATCCCTTTCTCTTCATGTGGCAATGTGTGTTTGTTTTTGACCTTGGCTTTCTACGGGTATACTGGCAAACTCTGACTAAAATCAGCTGACAGTATTCAGAATTCCCACCTCAAGAAATTATCTTGGCTGTACACACCGAGGCGCATCCCGTGAAAAGATTCCTAAAAAAAGCTGACAGACTGGCTATGACTGAAGTGGTTGGAGGAAATAGTAGGGACAGGGCAGACAGCTTGAATACATTGTGTTCTAGAGGCTCTGTGTCAGAGACAATGAATGGACTGTTCCAAATGTGTAGTAAATGATGAAAAGAAAAGCATGAAGAAACCAGTTGCGGGAAAGAGAAAGAAGAAATGACAGTCAACATCTACTGGGTAGGTTGTGCAGAGAGACACTGAGAACTGCTGCTGCAGTTGAGGACAGAGCACACATGGGTTGGACTGATGAGCTAGGATGTTGATACGTGCAACAAGTGACCAGTCTATATGCATGAAGTTTCCGTGCTGGTTCTGGGGCTCCATTGTGGGGAAAACAAGAATAGACCCACTGCCTCCCTCAAACAACCATGTTGTAGGAGTTAACTTACTGAAAGCATCCTTTGAAGTCACAGAGCATCTGCCTGAGTGGCAAGGAACCACCAACTGCACACGAATAAGCCAGCAAAATAAATGTGCACGCAAAACTCAAACACTGGCAAAAACAAAATCATAATGGCTAAACAACCAGGGTTTTCCGCTGTAGCTTACAGCCAGAGAACAAAGAAGAATAAATCACTTTTTAAACATGGTTGCTGGGAATAGTGGGTTTATCTCCCCTCCCTCAAATAAAGTCCTAGAACACACATTTTGGGATTTTTTTTTTTTTTTTTTTAATATTTTTTCAATAAGTACACATTTTTGTAGAATTTGTTTTGTATTTCAAATGTTTGTTCAAGCTTTAACACGAAACAATAAAATAATAGAAGAAAAACCAAAAACAACTACAGTGCTTCTTCTTATTGTGTCCGTTTTCTGATTTACACTGAAAGGCAAGTTTTTGTGATAAACTTGACCGTTTCTAGAAGCTCCCTTTTATTTCCATACTAATCTGAGTACAGTGTTGACACAGTGGGCTAGTATTCCCTTCTTATCGGGCTGTACGAGGGACATTCTTGCAGGACATAATACAGTGCCACTTACCTCGACTTTGTTCCGATGGTGCAGTAGTTTTGCCTGAAATAAAAGGACAAAAACATGACTTTTACAACAAACAGCAACCTACATGAATCAACAATCTACGTGACTCAACAATCTACAGGGGTCAGCAACCTACATGACTCAATAATCTTTGGGACTCATTCAGTGGTTCCATTAGTATTCTCGCTAACGCAAATAACATCACACAATTCTAAATACTTATATATATACTCTCTCTTCTGCTTTTCCTCAGATGTGCCAACACAAACAGTCCAGCACTAGAAATGCAGTTCGTCCTCTACGGAAGCAGCAGTTATAGTTGGTAGTTAGTAACGCAATTCAAGCACACAGCCAGTTCTCTGGCAACAGGCCACTTTTTATCCACAATTCACAAGACAAACCACATTAGGCATAGCTTTAAAAAAAGTTCCAAATAAAATATGCAGCGGACAGTGATGCACCATGCACTCAGCTCAGTAGCTAGAACTATATCATATGGGTCTACATATAGAGGAAAATACAACAGCTAATTATTACCAGAAACAAAAACTTACCACAAATAAAAACAGTAAACCTGCCTATCCACCATACTGACCAAAAGCTTAGTTTTATGTGGTTTGAGGAAGGCAGTCTCGTGCCTAGCCTTATTCTTAGCTCAATCTCCTATCTTAGTAGCTAATAAAAATTACAAATAAGCAAAAATGTGCTTAATGTACTGATTTATCGATTTAGGAATCAACTTAGCAAACTGGGCATACTCAGAGATGCGCCATTTCTCATAGAAAATGCCTTTAAGGTTTAGATGCTAACAGTTCCCATAGAACACTGATTATACACTTCATTCTTCTCCTCTTCCACATGCCGGATCCAAGCCTAATTCCTTATTCGCACATTCTTACATATGTTATTTCATTTAACATCGAGTCTTCTTTCAGCATTTATTCATAAATGATCTCCAGAAAATGACTCCCATGTCTAGTACAAGTGTTTCCTAGCGATCACTTTTGTAGCCAGAAAATCCCCTCTTTGATTCCCTCGCACTCCTGCATATCCCTGACAATTTGCCTGAACAAATAGCAAGATAATGTACGGGAGATAACAACAATAACTCAAGAGTACCTTATTGAAACCCCAGTCAAAGATGCAGAGTCGTACACAGATTTAGATAACAATGTTTAAAAACAAAAGGAATGGATACAAGTTGATAATCTACATGCTCAGGGTATGAATCAGCTCACATGATTTGAAAAAGGTGGCCTCTACTTAACAAAAACAGATCACCTCACACCCCTAACACAAGACCTTACTTCACTCCAGGAAAATGTCCATGACTTCAAACAACTGACACTCCTCAACAAACTAACAATAAACATATCAGACTACTTACCTGACTGTGTCGAAGAGGTGAGTGTGTGTTAATGTGGACACAAGCAGTTTATCCTTCCACCATTCCATCTGATACACAGAGGATTCAACGTACGCAATTACTTCTGATGGAGAAGCAAATAAACTTTTGCCCTGGAGGAAGAAACAAATTGTGTTCATTTAACTCTTTCAGAGCAGCTGCTGGGAGACTCTTCCAGGCCATAAACTTGGGGTTTCTTAGCAATAGAGAAATAGGCAAGAGGATTAAAATGGCTGTTTACTGCTCTATGTACCAGTCCTGACCTACAGGTGTGAGTCATAGGCAATGACAACGGCTCACAGAAGCTAGCTTCAGGCCTCCGAAATGAGATATTGGAAAAAGGTGATCCAAGTGATAAAAAGGGACAAAGTCCACAATGAGACAATACCATGGCAGGCTAAGAACCAGACCTCCAGGATGACCCAGGGTCCGCTGGGAAGACAACATCCAACAGTCCCTAACTGACAGAAGACTGGAATGGAACAAAGCCAGAAAGAAAACTGCTGACAGAGATGTCTGGCAAACCTTTACACCCCAAGGTAGAAGAGGAGTGACTAAGTAAGTAAGTAAGTTAACTCTTTCCGTATCAACTAGCAATCTTCTTCTTCTGCCCTAAAATGAGCACAGCTGGGCTGTGATATCTGCATCTTTCAGTCAAACATATCCTATGCCAACAAATCCTTTATTCGTCACCTTTTACAACATACTTGACTAGTGGGTCACTTCTTTTTTTTTTCCGGTTTGTTGCCTCAGAAAACATTTTTACTTTGACTGGTCGATTAAATAAAATGGAAATCAATGTTCTAGTTCATTGTGGTCATAATTATGTTTTGTAAGACACAGATCAGAAGCATGTCGTTTTTTTTGGCCCAGGATATTCGGGTGTGCATGATAATCAGCAGGCTGACAGATTGGGTGCTGCTGCACCATTTCAACTACTCAGGGACAAGTGATACACAAAATGCTACACATAATTATTTATGAGATTTACTGAGCGATAGACAAAATCTCCACATTTCAGAAAGTCAAGGTGGCATACCTTATTGGGTATGAAAATGGTAGAGATTTTTCCGGTGTTATCTCCAACAAACACCCTGGCAGATGCTGCATCCCAAGCTAGAGCTGTCACAATGTGTCCCGTATGATCCTGGGTATAGCGTACACGCTCTGGCTTAATCCTTCTGTCAATATTGAGCTCAAACACAGCAACATGACCTGTGCTGAAAAGGTTTTTAAACAGTTTATTGATTTTGTGCTTATTCAAGAGAATGAGATCTGTAAAACTGATGCACGCGCAACACTCAGGTTCTGGAGCAGGACTGCAGTTCAGTAGTGGACGAGCAACCAGAACTTGAACGCGAAGAAGAAGAAGATTTTGCCCTCAAAGGTATATTTAAAATTTATATACATTATTCGCCCCATTTGGGTTTTGGGGCTCTGTTGCAGAGGACATCAAACATGTCGTAGAAGTTGACTAATTATTGGTGTGCGTTTACACGAGAGGTGAGGAACCAACAGTCTACATACATATAAGCCAGATCCGTACAAATGAATGAGCACGCAAAACTCAAGGTCTTGAGCAAGACTAAGATCCAGAAGTGGACGAACAGCAAGAACTGTCTGCCAGAGTTTACAGCTGAAGAACACAAAGAAGAAGAGACTCTAGTCTGAGATTACCTGGGAAAAAAAAGGGAGAAACAAGAATAAATAACTGGAGGGTGCAGCGGGTGAGGAGCGGAAAGCTCAACATACGGATGTGAGGAGCGGAAATCTCAACATACGGATGTGAGGAGCGGAAAGCTCAACATACGGATGTGAGGAGCGGAAAGCTCAACATACGGATGTGAGGAGCGGAAAGCTCAACATACGGATGTGAGGAGCGGAAAGCTCAACATATGGATGTGAGGAGCGGAAAGCTCAACATACGGATGTGAGGAGCAGAAAGCTCAACATACGGATGTGAGGAGCGGAAAGCTCAACATACGGATGTGAGGAGCGGAAAGCTCAACTTACGGATGTGAGGAGCGGAAAGCTCAACATACGGATGTGAGGAGCGGAAAGCTCAACATACGGATGTGAGGAGCGGAAAGCTCAACATACGGATGTGAAGATAAGAAGTCATGTGAATGATGTGATGATTCTTTGTGTGGGCCCAGGTAAAGAGGGTCATGTGTCAGCTCTGCAGTTATGGAAGCCTCCTTGGATGGTGGGAAATGCCCACGTTCTGCCCCTGCCTTTCCCCAAGGGCTGACAATGTTACATGCAGATGCCCTGGACAGGTTCACCAAAGGGGCAACACCTGAAGACAAGGGCACCAAAAAAAAAAACACAAAAGCAAGGATAAGTCATGCCCAACAAAACTATCTGGTAAATTAACATGGTCAACAAATGTTCGATAAAGTCAGATGTGTCAGCCGAAAGGTGCAAAAAATCACAGCTTTACTGTAAATTCATGATCCTCTCGTGCACTAGGCTTCAATGTATGTGGCAAGCTATATATTTTTTTTATATACTCTTGAGGTTTCAGACAGTTGTACAAGAGTTGCACCATGGAAGAGATTTTGTTCTCACCACGTAATATTCTCAAAGACTGCTGTGGTTGTACTGTACCCAACCTTTACTATCGACAGGGCACATAATATGTTTCATCATTATCATGTAGTAAAACATCACTCTAAACACAGCCTAAGTGAAAGCCTTACCAATACCCAGACCCCAAGCGATTTCAATTCCACATGTGTTTTTAAAGTCCCAAATCAACCTTCACATTGATCTACTCCCGCATTTTTCTTTTAAGGGACTTGCATTCCATTACTATGATGTTAACATGGCAGTTTCACTGACTTATGTAAATGAGCAATTTGACTTTGAAGTATATAATGGCTCTTATGTAACCTTGAGGCACTAGGCTACAACCTGGTATCCGTGAAGAAGAAGAACCTTAAGACTAGGGCTGTAGCGAATATTCGCTTCGTATTCGCTTTGGGGCCGAATAGTGGACCTATTGACTATTCGGTATTCGGCCGAATAGTTGCGGTCAGGCCAAATACGAATAGTAGTTACCTTACACCAGCTCTGCATACACGGCCTTAATGCTGACAACATGGAACGATTGGTTTTGTTGAAAGCCAATGCAGCTTTCCTTTATTAGCTAAGCTGTCAGTGACAATTTCCAAGTTTAGTTACTTGTTATAATACTTAGAAATCTTTCATTCCTAGTTATTAGTTACCACAGACTGACTGAAGGATGCAAAAAATAAAATGTTTTTAAATGTTTACTATTCTGTATGAATACTAACTAGACATGGAAAGAATATAAACTTCGGCCACATCCAAGTCGATAATATGAAAATCAAACGAACGGAAATATATAAGTACTTGGGTGCAAACTTCAACTGCTCCAACATGCTGAGAAAAGAAATACAATCTAGAAATAAAGTATACTATGCCCTTTAACATCTGCTAAAGTAAAAGTGTCTGTCTCGCAACACCAAGATCAAAATATATAAAACGTTGATAAGACCAGTCGTTTTATATGGCTCTAAAACTTGAAGCAGAAATAAAAGAGATTAGGCCTTATTAAGGTTTTTGAAAACAGTCTTACGACAAATCTTTGGACCCATCAAAGATGCTAACAGCGGGGATTGGAGGGTGAGAAGCAACAACGTAACACATAATCTGTTTAAATCACCATTGATCACTGGCATCATGAGAACTAACAGACTAAAATGGTTGGGGCATACTGAAAGAATGTCAGATGACAGAGAAGTAGTATACACCTGAGAGAGGAATGGGCGTAGACCACGAGACAGACAAGAAAGAAGTTCGAGAGATAATGTCCAGTCAGACCTGCAAACAACTGGTGTCCCAAATTGTGAAGATAAGGCCAGCCAGAGAGATGAACGGAGAAGTGTGTTATCTGCAGCAGTAAACCCCAAGGGCTCAGAATGCTAAAGAAGAAGATGACTATTCTGTGCTACTTTATGTGAAGTAAAAGTTCAGCGTACATTTGACATTATGAATGTTTTTTTTTTCATATATATTTTATACACAATACACTATTTGTATTCGTCCGAATAGTTGGTCTGGCTATTTGTATTCAGCCGAATAGTGAAAATCACTATTCGGTACAGCCCTACTTAAGACACATAAAAACCGTAAACTGATTCAAAAAATTAAACTGTCTGAGAAAGGTTGTTCTACACAGGGACTACCAAATGTCAAAGGTTAATAATAAACCACACCAAAGTTCAAACAGAAATTAATCCATAGATAAGCCACATATATTTGAAATGAATTTTTTTTTTGTACAAGAGTCACTGTGACTACTGTCTTTTCCTGTTTTTAGGCTGGTGTAGGCAGGGGGGTGGCAAGCCTAAGACTTAGGAAGAACGGCTAGTGCTGCCGCCATGGACTGGACAGGTTAGGATGTTTAATTCTGCCCCGGACAGAAAAACTCCATTATCTTACTGGGGGTCGAACCCAAGTCTCCCGCATGACAGCCCACTGCTGTACAAGAGTACTTTGCTTAAATCTTGGGCCTACAGACACAGTCACTTCAGCCTTGCTGTAAACCCCCATCACAACATGCCAACTGCCATTGTAAAAGCAAATGAAGAAGAAGAAAGGGTACAAGAGTATGTGTGCTTACCTCAAAGCAATAGCCACATGTTGATCTGAAGGTGACAAACTGACACTCACAACGAGGCTTGCTTCCTGCCATAAGTACAATTTCAATCATTCAGAATTTTTTTTTTGGCCTTTTAACATAGGTATTAGTATATTTTATTTCATACAATAATATATATGAGACACAACACTTAAATTTCCGTGTAACAGGATGTTCGGTGGGGGGGGGGGGGGGGGGATAATCTAATGTTATCTGGATGTTTTCTTTCTGATTATAAATGTATGCTTTTGTGTTCTGTTAGCTCAAGGCCCAGGTTATAAAGTAATTGTGAAGTTCAAACATCCACCCAGTCTCTTTGACAAACCGCACTCCAAACAACTGAGCACATACCGCAGTACTGCTCCCTACAACTAAACCTGCAAGAAAACTCAATCCCAGAGAGAAGAGGCATGCAAGACAAAGTCTGAGGAACCCTTGCAGACTTGCTGATGTGCCAGTTCATGCAGGCAGTAAACACACATGACAACCTGAGCATATGAAACCCAAGGAGAACATCTTCAAACCTCGGTTCATTTTTGCGGATGTGTTTTGTTTCTCGATGTTCTGCTGATACAGGCTAGTAACACTTGGTAGGTTAAGATAGTACTTCTTCTTAGTCAACTTTACCAGCTGTACACTCTGGCTGTTTGTCCATTTCTGGACGGTAGTCTTGTTACATAACTTGAGTTGTGCACATACATCCACTTTACAGATCTGGTTTATTTGTTTGCAGACTGTTGGTTCCATGCCTCTCAAGCAGATGCACCCTGATTTTAAAGGAAACACTCCTAAATAAATGCCTCTTATGACAAGTCAGTAAGAGAGACAAATATACTTCTGGTCCACAAAGGACTAGACATGGCAGTGTTTAGCTTCAAAGTTATTATTTTTTTCGACAGTGCGCTGCTAATCTAGTTTGGACATGTGGGTGGAAATCTATGGTTTTGCTGCCTGGTCTACTAAGTTTAGTGCTTGGTGCAGCACTGTGAGCTGTGTGTGTGTGTGTGTGTTTTTCTCTGTGGAATGTCTTTCATATGTGCAGTGGTTGAGTCATGGTATTCAATATAACCAGTAGCCGATTTACGTGTGGGCTGGTGAAATACCTAACTTACGTGTGTATAGCCAACTACTTGCATCAACGACAAACTGCTTTTCTGGTGGCAACTGTTGGCTTTGGCGCCTCTAGCAATTGTCATATGCATTTACAGTGTGCACATAATTCTGGACAATACTATGACTAACTGTTTGTTCACCAGTTTTTTAAATGGGTCAGCGATTTAATCTGATTTTCACTGGCACAGGAATAGAAGAAGTATGTAGTGACCCAGTTACAGTGAAGTTGTAACTCAACTATGACAAGCCAGTGAACAATAAGGGGAAAAGGGGAATTTTTTTTTTAAAACAACAACAGTCTTCAGTCATTCATTAACTTACAGTGTCTCCAAAGACGACTTGCAAATACTTTAGAGTGTCTCTACTAAATATGTACACTCCTCCAGAATTAGAACCAAGTGCCAAGAATTTTCTGCATACTGACAAACAAGTGTACTGAAAGTCAAAAATCAAGAATATATTATAAATATGCTAAAGAACATATCACAAAACAATCTATATTAATAAAAATCTTAATTTTTCCGGCATCGTTAGCTCTAAACTCGGAAACTACAGAACCGATTGCTTTCAAATTTGCACACAACGTTGCCTCTGACTCAAAGCGTTATTTTTTTGTCATAAAATCGCACAAACCATGAGCGACATAGCTTCAGCAATGGTCAAATCATTATTCGTTTCGTTGCCCGCCTGGATTTATTTTTAAGGAATTGGCCACCTTTGACTGTGCAACACCGACCTTCACATTATTATTATATAATTTAATTTCTACAAAATGCTTGAGTATTCAGTAGCGTAGTTAGATGTGAGAATTTTGCTTTTTTTGCTCGGGTGATAGGGGTTCGATTTTTTGGGGGGGATCTAACTGGGTGACTGCCACATTTTGTTGCGGTTTATAGCTAGGCTGCAGTATCTAAGCTTTTTTCCCGTTCGATTTTGGGGTTTACAGCTAGCCTGTGATAGTGGCGATGTGATGCTCAATGTTCATGTCACGGGTAATATTCGTTCGCCCTTGAGAAGGCGGTTGGCATGTTGTGTTGTGGTTTACAGCTAGGCTGCGATATCTGACCTAAAGTCTTCAGTCTTCGGTAGTAGAGTTGTAAGTATTCCGCCCTTTATGTGTATAACGGGTGTTCGATTCCCCGCTGGGTACTAATTTTTCTTTTTACCCCAAAGGGGCAATTGGCACGTTCTGTTGTGGTTTACAGCTACGTTGCGACATCTGCGCCTTACGCCCAAAGACATCCGATTTAAGTACAGTCCACATTAGCCTTCCCCCTCCCACCGACGCTTCACTCGATCATAAACTATTCGTTAATGACAGAAACTGTTAACTAAAAAGGCTTACGGTCCAGTTTGGTCTTGGTCGACACGGATGCCAAGGTTAATTAAACATCGTCACTTCGGACAGGGAGAGATGACGAGTGCAAGTTTTCATTTCCACTATTTGTGAGTATAGTGTACTTTTTTTTATATCACTGAATATTACTGTGGGTTCCATCACCGGTTAGGTGATGGAGTTTTATGTCGGGGACACATTTAAACTAAACAGTCCGAGGTGACAGCATGCGGCGCCAACTCCTCTGGCTACAACGACCTGTACAGACAGTAGTGACCGTTTTGTGTTGTTGTTGTTTTTGTGACGGTGGTGATGGTAGTGGTAGCAGTAGTACTGGTACTCGATGAGTTATGTGGTAGCTGTTACACTGGCCACATTTCTTTCTCAGTACAGATTAATGCTACCCATTTTTGTCTGGGTGGACACAGATGCCAAGCTCAATTTAACAACAATATTTCCTCAGGCGATGACTTTCCCATACTTCGTAAAGGATGATATGATTGTCACAGGGTGCGGGGGAAGGGGGGGGGGGGTGTCGAGGGGGGGTTGATGCCAGACACTGTTAACTGAGAGAGCTTAAAAGATTTTTTTACATTTCTCATTTCCTAACTATTTCTATTTTAACAATGTTGCCACATAATAAGTTTCAATCTTTCGGAGAGGGAGATATAACTGGGCAGATGCTTGAGTCCTTGGTAGCGTAGTTGTCTATTTTGCGTGTTACGTGGGTGACTGGCGATCAATGCCCCGCTGGGTGATAAAAAAATTTTTTTTTTGCCTTTAACTAAGCGCCTGGCACTTTTAGTTGTGGTTCACAGCTAGGCTTCTTTCCGCTCAATTTGGGGGTTTACAGCTAACCTGCGATAGCGGTGATGAGATGTTGGTCATGTCACGGGTACTCTTCATTCGCCTTTGAGAGGGTGGTTGGAATGTTGTGTTGTGGTTTACAGCTAGGCTGCGATATCAGACCCAAACTCTTCAGTCTTAGCTAGTATATTTGTACGTATTCCGCCCTTCACGTGGTTGACCGGTGTTCAATTACCCACTGGGTGCTAGTAATTAATATATCAAAAGCAGAGAAAGCTTTTTCATCTGAAACCAGCATATTCTGAGAGAACACTATATATAGATGTAAAACTCAAAATGCCTACTTCTTCTTTGGCCTTCCAAAGCCTTTGGATTTCCTGCTGCAGATATAATATGCCTCCATTCATCTCTATGACTGGCTTTTTCTTCACAAATGATGACTCCAAGTGCTTGTAAATTTGTCTTAATACATGTGTATTATCACTCTACTGTCTAGCTCCAGGCGGATCATTTATGTATACAGCTTCTGCCACACTGTTATCTGTCATTCTGTCTATATGCCAACCTCTTCCATCTGTTAGACCTCATGATGCCAATAATTCTTCTTACAGTCTATGCTGTTGGCTCTGTGGCTAAGTCGATGCGAACGCTTTGTAATGCCGGGATCAATCCCAGCTGCAGGCCATGTGCCTTGCGTTCGTTTCGACAGTGGTATCAAGAAAGCCGACCGTCCAGAAAGCAATGACAAACTACTGGACGTAAATTTGCCTTTAAAAAACTACATAACAGCCAGGGACTGTTAGGGTTGATTCTGCAACGTCCTGTAAAAGGATATGCAACTAACTAACTAAAAGTCCATGCTTTGTCCTAGTGGTAATCAACATCGCTATGCCAGTAATTTTTCTCCTTCTTTGTTCAATGGCTGTAAGCTCAGGCAGAAAGTCCTAATTGTTTGTCTGTTTAGACTTAGGCATTGTCCCAGGGCTTGAGTTTTGCATGTACATCTGTTTTACTAGCCTATTTGTGTGCAGCTGGTTGTTTCTTGCTGCTCGACAGATGCACTCCAACTTCGAAGAAAGCTCAAAATTAGCTGACTCCTGCGACATGCTTGTTTGGGGAGGCAGTGGGTCTATTCTTGTTTTCTCTACAACAGGGCCCTAGAACACACACAGGGATGCCAGTAATTGTTTTTCTTCTTATAGTCCACGCAAAGTGGTGTCAGCAGTCATCCCTCATGATCCCAGTAATTCTCTTTTTTTTATCGTCCATGCCATGTGGCGTTGGTAGTCAATCTATCAACAACCTTCCGTCTCCTCTACTTTCAATCAATTCTGGCACAGATAATATTCCATGTGCAAGGTCATGAGCAGGCTGATCGACCGGCTGCTGCCATCTGGGTGGTGAGCTTACTATAAGATAAAGCAGACGTGGTGAAGGCTCTGGGATCAAGTGAACAGTGTGGCAGAAGTATCCACACCTTGACACAAATTCAGCGGAGGTGAGCAGAAGTTCTGGAAGATATTCAACACAGAAAGGGAAATATATAGGCGGACTTTAATTCAGACTGCAGATGGTACTATAAGCATGTCAATACTTAGTTGGCTACTGGGGAGGGAGATAAAGCAGCAAGCATGTAGGAATGTCCTAAGTGCAGGAATGTCAACTCTTGCTGGCTGAAAGAGCTACTATAATGTGTCCACCATCACAACAGTAGACCACTGCCTCTTTTTCCAGTCACACCTAGTTTGGGACATCTGAGATATCACCATGTCTGACTCCAGCAAACACGTGTTCAGTTTACTTTCTCTATATGTGGACTTCTACATAAACTTGTGACAGAACCTTGCATGAGGTTCTGTAAAATGAGGTACATTTTATCACAAAAACATATCTGTCTGTGGAAATGAATTAGGAGATCACACACACACAAACAGATGGTTTCATAAAACTAGCACAATCAGTCATTTGGCATGATCCAGAAATCGAGTATTGCCTTTAATATGTAATATTACTACAGTAAAATGACGAGAGAATATTACCTTCAATCTTGCAGACCTTCCTAAAAGAGAATTCAGATCATCCAGGGATGAAAGTTCAGCAAACAAATGAGTCACACCTCCAGCTTTTGCCATACTGAAGAAACTGAAAAAATTATAACTTTTTATTTAACATACAGCCCGGCTCACTAGTACAGTTAGTTAAACCTGACTTCACAGTGACTGGGTGACGAACTCCTTGTGGTAGGCCCAGGGGTAGACAAAAAAGCCACATTTCTCCCAGATTTACCGTACTTATTATGGAATCAAGGCCAAAGGGTTGCCATATCCATAGTACCAAGCCAAAGGGTAAACAACTTATGGTTTCTGGATACTCTAAAAAAAAAATTTACATGCAAGAAGGGACGAAGTCTGCAATCATACAGTATGTAAAGATCTTGATACCCAATTCTTACAAACCTGAGTGGATCAGTCCATGGCCAAACTTTAGTTACTAGGCCTAGCTACTGACGTCATCAGCGGGACGTGACGTCACCGCCGCTGGCTAACGTTATGTTACTTTTTCACTCAGACGGTACCTGTTTTTTTTTTTTTTTTCGGCCGTCCCCTGAGTACTAGCCCACAAAAAGTATAGCAGTAAGCTCATGGCTATTCAACAGTCAGCCCGCGGACCAAATTTGGTCCGCTGAGGCCTAGCGAGTGGCCCGCCGATCACTGCTGGTTGCAATGAAATAATGCTTTTTCTAAGCTGGGACTCGGACTGCTGGCCCATAACGATCCCTAATTTTACAATGTTGGCTTCTGAGTTAACCTAAATTGACTTAGTTGAACAGCCCTGGATATAGGTATTGACAATAAGACATGGAAACAAAAAACACAACAGAAACTACTGACATATTCACAATATGACATAGAAACTAAAAGCACAACAGAAACTACTTACCATGTAGCTGTCCAAATTGAAGTTACATAATCCGTGAAATCCATTACTGGGTGAATTTGGCCAGTTTTCTTTTCTTAGATGATTTATCCAGCAAGGATGTGTCGGTTTTGATTTTGCGGTAGTTATTTAGGAAAACATTTGCCAGAGATGGCAGCGCTTTGGAAGCAATGTTTATTTTAGAACAACCCTCAGCACAGACACCACCTATTTCATCCTTGAAATATGTTTGTAAACTGCATGAAACAATATGCATAAGCAATTTTTTGTGATGTTTGCAGGCTAGAAATTGTGTTTCCAACTCAGCTGATATAAGCTTCTGCATAGCTGCATATGTGACAAATGTTATTAAACTTATAAATTTTGAAGGGTATTTCAAACCTCCACGGTCAAGCAGCTGTATATAGTCTGTTGACATTGCACCTGAGTCAACATCATTTGATAATGGCCTGTCCATCTGCAATAAAGTCTTGCAGGCAGCACACCTAATTTTTTTGTTCAGCTTACTTGAGACAAATCCAGCAATATACACCAGTGACTCCTCTGAACCTTCCGAAACCAACAATTCACAGTCATTTGGGTTTATTTGAAAAAAAACCTTGTTCACGTCCAGCTGAACAGCATCAGTAATTATGTCATCCCCAGTTTCATCTTCTTTGCTGCTAAGAAATTCTGAGAGGTCACGGATAGGAAAATCTCCATAAGTCGATGAGGACATACTTAACAGTGAGTAAACTTTAAGTTTCTTTTCTGCTTCTAAAACTTGCTGCACAGATACTAGGTAGTTTGCTCCTGACAACTGCCGATATTCACCAAACCGAGCTTCTAAGTTGTCAGTCTGTAACTTTCCAAGAAGTATAAAACTGGCTTCTGTTGTTGCAAATAGATATTTGATTAGAGAAAGCACTGCAGTCACTGTATGCAGCAGTGCACTTTGTGTTTCCTTGGTCAGTTTTCCTTGACAGCCAGGCAGCTTGTCCCACTTTCTTAGCCATTCAGCAAACTGTTCAAGATAATGCACTTGTTCATCATCATTTGACAATACAGGATTTGAGAATGAGTTCAGTGTCTTTTTTACCTACAAATTTACTTTTCACATTAACAATATGCCACCATCTAAGGATGGCTTCAATAAAATCTGCTGTTTCATTACTGCCTACTAGACGCAGAGCAGCAACATTGTATTCATTAAAAATTGCCAAAGCAAGAGGAACATTCTGTCTGTCCATGCTGGAGGGATAGATGGCTTTGTGGGAAAGTTTAGGTGCCAGTTTTGCAATATTCTTTTGCTCACTATAATACAGTTTCTTTAAATGAGAAAAAGTTAGCTTCTGCAGCTCTATCAGTATCACAGGCGTTTAGCATTTGTCCAGTTATTAAAGGATAAGTAAATGTCTGGTTTGTGTCCTTCTGGTTGATCCAGTTCCTCCACATGCATTTTAGCAAGTGCACAGAATCATGCAGTAAAAATATTTTTTTATTAGCAAAAATCTGGGTTCTCAATAAAAGTTTGGCTTGGTTTCAGGAGAACACTGTAAACTCTGCGATTGACAGCACTATTATCTGCAATTACAGCAACTACTGTGAAACCACACTCCTGTACAAAGTGGATACAGTGGAGTAATTTCAAACGTAGATCCTGAGATGTCATTCTGTTCACAGGTGAAAGCTCTATAATTTCCTGGTAGCTTCCAAAAACTGAAGATATGAGGAAAGCCTGCACTGTTGTTGCTGCTTCTTTTGCATTGTCTGCATTGCCAAATATTTTTCCCCCAGAGTAAGTAATTGCAGATTTAACATATATTTCATCCATCTGAACCACTACAATCTTTTCTAGCTCTGTCAGTTTGTCTTGTTTCAATTTCAAGTACTGTGAAATGCTGCCAGTATGAGTAGACAATGACAACTGTGAAGTTAAATTGTGCAGTGTTCTTTGATGAGGCAGGCACAACATACGAGATTTTCTTATAAACCGGTAGCATGCTGGAGATTTAATGAACAGCATGAAAGCGAAACATAATGTGCTACAACTGTAACGCCTTCTGTTTTTTAACACGGTTAAAAGTTGCAGCTGCTCTGCAAGAAAGTTTACTTGTGTGTCAGTTACTTCATCAGCTGTCCCATTAGGAGTCCACTGTTGCTCTGCAGCACTCTTCAAAATACTTCCTGCTTCTCCCACTAAATCTGTGAAGCTATTTTGGCTTTGAATTTTACTATAATCCCAGGCATTGTAATGAATTACAAGATTTTCAAGCTGTGACCATCTCACAAGTTTATTGTTGTCTACAATCCATTTAAGGTCTTTGTCCTTAACTTTTTTATTTTGAACAAAGACTTGTATAGTCATATCAAGTAACACCTTTATGCTGACACCTATGGATGGTGCAGAGTCTGACTGTATGGTAATGACATACAAAACAATACATGCTAAAGCTCCATCTACAGAAGTGTATTTCCAACTTTTTTCAAAGTGTCCTTTCAGTTTGTTTCCTATCTGTGACTCCAGATCTTGGAAATCTGTAATAATATCTGAGGACAGCCAATCATTGACTTTTTGATCATAATTACGATTAATATGTGATACACGTTCCTCTGGAGTTTTGCGAGAGGCAGGTACTTTCACCGATAAATAGGATGGAAGATCTGAAAAAATAGTTGGATAAGCATCTTTTTTTAAAGCGGGATTCTTTCTTGGAAGTATATGCTCGATTCCTGATTTGTCTGTATATTCATCAGACACAATAATATCTGACGTACGAAAATGTTTTATACATACTACACTGGTTTTCCCAGGAGTCCAATTTTTCCGTGGAATATGTTTCAGCCATTTGTCTCTTAAAAAAAGAATTCGAAGGGAATTTGAAGCAACTTACATATCCACTAGAAAGGTCATAATTTGAACGACACTCGGGTACAGAACATTTCGCAGGCATATTTCCTCGAAAACCAACACACTGACGATAAATCCAACGTAAATTGCAGAAATTGCTTACTAAATCTACTCCCTGAAATACCGCTTATAGGTGAATCAGACGTGAAAATTGAACCACATTAAAAACTTTCACAAGAAAAATAAAACTGAATACACACTGATACATCCATTTTGTTTGCCTCGGGAAGTGACGTCACCAGTCGAGTTTCAGGGCCTGTAATTTTCGAAGGCGTCGATCAGTCACAGTTATGATGGTTTGGACATGTACGCAGAATGGGAGAAAACTGCCTGCCATGGCAGGCTAAGAACCTGACAACAAGACCTTCAGGGCGACCCAAGGTCGGCTTGGAAGACAACATCTGACAGTCCCTAACTGAGAATTGGAATGGAACAAAACCAGGAAGAAAACTTCTGATAGAGACATCTGTCGAACTCTCTGGCAAACCACTACACCCCAAGGTAGAAAAGGAGTGACTAAGTAAGTAAGTATTTAACTTGTTCTTCCTCTTCTGCCTTTCTATCCCCCAATGGAGCCTAGGGGTTCAACCAACTCACGCCAGACTTGAACGACTGATAGAACGACTGTTCTATCCTTCGCCATTGCATGGAGCTCTCCCCATCTTTCTAACTTCATTCTCCAGCTCTCTTCTTCGTGTATTTTTTTGGCCTTCCTTTATCCCTATGCCCCTGTGGGTTCCAATGCGAGTATTTAATTTACAAAACTACAATTAAACACAAATTTAACTTAGTTATCTTCTTCTGCTGCGTTCATTGCAAGATGTAGATGTGTTGCGTCCATTTACAACATGGCTGCCATATTTGCACCTTTCAGTGGACACATCTGACTTCTGAAGGCAATTGTTGCCCAGGTTAGCCATCCCAGCTTCTGCGAGTTCCCCATCCATGCATCAACATCTGGACTTGTTCCATAACTTGAGTAAGGAGTGCACATCTATTTAACAGATATGTCTTATTTGTAAGCAGACTGTTGGTTCCTCGCCTCTCATGCAGAGGGACTCAAACTAGTGGAAACACCCTCTTAGTTCCCTTTTATGACATGCTTGTTAGGGGAACAGCCGATCTGTTCTTTTTTTCTTTTCTTCTAAAATGGAGCCTTGGAAGATGTATGCAGAACTTTGTGATAGTATTGGTCAAAATTCAAAACATTATTTCAACATCACTTTTGATCAAGTCTACTTCTTCACCTCACAGACATGGTAGTTTTCATTGGTGACCAGGTTACCCATTGGCTTGCTGGTAGAT